TAATGGTGAGTATTTAAAATTTATTTTTTCACGAGCTTTAGAACAAGCTAATGTGTCAGTTTTTCCATTTATTTTTTTTTTCATTTCAATCTTTTATAATTATTTTCAAAAAATTACGTAATCCCCTGAAAAATGGAAAAAAAAAATTTTTTTGATCTCAAAAAAAAAAAAAATAAAAAATTGTACAACTGTCGAAAAAGAAAGAATTAAAAATATCGAAAATTTTGAGATAATTCGAAAAATATGTACAAAATAATGCCCGTTGGTCCACACACAAAAAATGCGGTTTTTTTTTCTATTTTTAATATTTACATGATTTAATTTCTCAAAATTTTCCAAATCTTTGAAGTTAGTAAATATTTTGAAATTTGTTAATTTAAGAAATTTTCTTGCAATGAAAAAAAAATTAAATTAATTTAAATGAAACAATTAGTATTAATGTAATACCAACTGATAGAAATAAATTATTAAAATTTTACACTGGTTCAATTTTTGTTTTTTTTTTTTTTTCTTCAATGAAGACTGATTTTAAATTCTTTAGTGATAAATTTTTATAAACTTTTTGCAATCTTTTTTTTTTAAGGTAATTTTTACATTTCCATTAAAGAAACAGCGGGGAATACGTAATTCAAATTTTTTTTTAATGAGAAAAACACTAGTGACGGGATAAAAAAAATTATTTGTGACATTTTTTTCCTCAAGAAAATTTTAAGTAAAAATTATAAATAATTTAAAAAATTATAGCTAACAGTAATAATAATAATAATATAATATTGCTTTTTGTTAAAATCGTTTACTTTAAATTTTTTATATTTTTTCAAAAAAAAGGAATGAGAAAATTTTTTTTGAAATTTTTTTTTAATCTTCCAAGAATTGAATTTTATTCTACTTCAAATAAATGAATTTCAAAAGGAAAAATTACTTTGACATAGATGATGATTTATGTATTATTTATCTACCAAAATTTATTATAACAAATTTGAATAGATAAAAAAAAAAAATTAAACTATTCAAAAAACTAAAAGTATCGAGATTTTACTAAACTTATATCTTTATTAATTAATATTCATTAGCTATATGAATAAAAATACAAAAGATTAATATAAATAAATAAACGAGACAATTTACTACTTAAAATAGAGAGAAGAGAGAAAAAAAAAGAATTATTCTATTTATCGTTGAAAATTGTCAAAAATAGCTAGCGCAATTACTATTCAAAAAACACGTAATTATATTTAAATCATCTATCAGAAATTAGAAAATTAAAACTAAAATCAAAAGCTTATAAAAAATTCTGTGTCTACAGAAAAAAAAAATTAATTTTTTTTTTTTTTTTTTTAAATTTTATCTCTTTAGATTATATTATAATCGATTAGGAAAAATTTTAATTTTTAATTTAATTTTAAATTAATAAAAAAAAATTTAACTTTTCCCAAAATTTTTCTAAATTCATTAAAAAAGTATTGAAATTTTTTTTTCTTTACAGAAGAATTTTAGAATTTTAGAAAGCTTTTAGTAGTTATAGAATTTTTTTTAGGTTTTATTTTTAAATTTCTATTATCTGATTAAACGTAAACGTGATTTAAAAAAATAGGTGTTTTTGAAAATTATTTGCACTGAACGTAACAACAATTTTCAAACGATACTGTTTATAAATAAATTACTTGCTTTTTGTTGAAATATCAAAGAAAAAAAAAATTTTTTTTTCGTTAAATTAATTGTATATCATTGAATTAAAGTTCCCTTCGTTGATCTCTATTTTTTTTTCAAAAATTCAATGTAAAAAAATAAATATTAACGTTATTCTTATTCATTTTTTTAAATAATTTTTTTTTTTAAATTTCAAACATCGGTGAAAACTAATATTTTCGATATCATCATTTATAAAAAAAAGAAAAAATTAATAAAAATCATTTTCAATTATTATTTTACAGATTTTTAAATATATATATATATTATTACACATATATATAAATAATTAAATTTCAACTAAAGCGAAAAAAAACGCAAAAATAAAAAAATATACAATATAAATTTAACTAGCTTTTAAAATAATTATATACTCAAAAAAAATTTACTGTTCTTAAAAAAAATTAACTAGCCTCTATTTTTATGAAACTAAAATTTAGTTTCTTTTAAAAGTTTATTTCACTGATCGAAATAAGTCAAATTTTCGAAATATCGAAAAATTAACATTAAAAAACTCCCGTACACTGAAAATAAAAAAAAAAAAATTCAAAATTTTTGAATTATTTTCCTAAATATTGAAAATTCTATTTTCGTTCAAAATTGGGGAAAACGAAATTATTATTTTTTTTTTATTAATTGAATTCGAAAATAGCGATTTAAGAACTTACAGATGGCAAATAGGTGAAAATATAATATAAAAATTTTTTTTGTCAAAATTCAAAAAGACGATAAAAATTTGAAGTTAACGAATTTAACTGAAATTGTCAACTCGAGGTTTTTTCTTCGTCGTTTAATCTAAATTTGGTGAAATGTAAAAAAAAATTAAATAGCGAGCAAAAAAATTGAAAAGTTAAGAAATTATTTCTTTTTTAGTTTTGTTCTAAATAATTTGAAATTTTTAGAAAATATTTCTTAGATGCTATACTAAATAAAAAAATTTAGTAAATTTTTGACACCTGTAAGTTCCTTAAACGCAAAATTTTCCAGACACAATTCAGCGTCAATGTTAGTAATTTAAATTGTCTTTTTTTTTGTTAATTTGTGATATGTTAAAATATTTTATGTGCAAAAAAAAAACAAAAAAAAACACCTCATTCACACAGTGAGCAAATATACGAAAAAAAGAGAAATAAACACGAAGTAAAAATAAAAGAAAAAAAAACAATCTGTGATTTCGAAGTAATTATCGTTAATTATTATAAATAAAAACATATTTCTTTAAAAAAACAAAAAAAAAAGCATAAATGAAACAATTTAGTTTTTTTTTTCATAAAAATAATTTGAAAGAAATTTTCAAATTATCAAAAATTTTCTAAACGAAATCATAAGACGTTGGTGTTTATAGAATTTTTTTTTTTTTTGCAACGCAATACACTGGAGAAAATATAAGTTTTTGCAAAAAATTGTTAAACGTCATTTTTTAATATTATTTAAAGACTATAAAAAAATATTGTTAATATTAAAAACTACTTTCTATAAAATTATGAACACAATGTATTTAAGCAGACTTATGGTAAAATTTTTAAATTCGTCAAGCTCAAAAAAATGTACTTTTTAATCAGAAATAAAAAAATTATTAAAATTTATTTGAAAAGAAAATGGGAAAAAAAATTTATTGAAATATATAAAATATAATACCGCATTTGATAATATTCAAAGAATATTGATTGAAAAAATAAAAATAAAAAATAAAATATACAAATTAAAAAAATTGAAACAGTTTAAAATTATAAAAATTTTAATTCTGACAAAAAATTAAAGTAAATACTGAATTATTGCATAAATAAAATTGCATTTCATAGCATTCTTACATTAAATTAATATTAATAAAGAAACTTCACCTCATATTATTATTTCTTTTTTTTATACAAATTTTTAGTTTTCAAATTTTTTTGTTTTGTTAATTTTTTTTTCTCATTTATTCTCAGACTTTTGTAAAATCATTAATTAATGCGCCACCATATTACTACACATAACACTAAAAAAAAAATAATATTAAATAAAAAAAATGTCAGAACTAATGAAACTTAAAATTATTAAATAATAAGAATGTTAAAAAAACAATAAAATAATTTATAAATAAATAAATAATTAAATTTTAAGATGTCTTTATAAAAGCGATAAATTTTATCAACGATAAGATTTGCTTAATTTAAAAAATATAATAATAAATTAAAAAATTTAACCAAAAAATGGTAAAATTATTTTTTTTTATTATATTTTTAGATTCAGCTATCTTAATATTGATAAAAAAATGTAACAATTCTAAAGATAGTTAAGAATTCTTTTTTTTTGTTAAATAATTGCAAAATAATAATGAACAATTTGATATTTTCTCCAGTGTAAGTTGCGTTTTTTTAATTTTTCGTTCAAATAAACTCATAGGACGTTCCTTATTTTTTATTTTTTTTTTTACTTTTTTTTTTAATTTAAAAAAAAATTCTTACGCACAGAATTTAAGTTTTTTTGATTTTATCATAAAAAGACACAGAAAATAAGTTTTAGTTCATTTTGATTGATTTCTTTTTTTTTATTTTGAAAATTCAAAATGTCGGCAACAAAATTGCGGATTTTTTTTTATTTTTAATTCATTCGAAACCTGATAATTTTTTTTTTTATTTGTACCAAAGAAGATTTTATTTATTTAATTAATATACGGAACTAAAAATAGTTTAATAATTTTTTAATGAAAAAAAAAATATTTTTAATCGTTTTTCTTTTATTTTTTAAAACAAAAATTTTGTTTCGTCGCTAGGATCATTTACTTTAGTCATTGAAAAGTAAATTAAATCAAATTTTGTTTTGAAAAATAAGAAAAAAATAACAAATTTTTTTTTAAACAAAAAAAGTTCATTAGACTTACTCTGAAATTTTTTTTACAATTTCTTTGTATTTACAGATATGAAATTATAAAACGAAAAATTAAAAAACGACCTTTTAGAGCAAAAATACATTTTTATAAACAAATTACATTTTTTTTTGTGCTTTGGTTTTTTTTTATTTTTTTTTTTTTAAATTTTTGTTTTACTTTTTTTTTTTTATTCGTAATCAGCGACCCCAAAAATCCCACGAGAAGCAAATTTCAAACGAATTAAATGAATTTGCCAGCAAAAAAAAAAGTCAATTTTATTTTCATCATTTTGAATTTTCAAAATATGAAGAAATAAAATTCGGCAACACCGAAAGAGCTAAAATAAAATTTTCCGAGCTTTTTTTTTTTTTGATAAAACAAAAAAAATTCGATTCTGTGCGTCACGAAAAAAAAAATAAGTGACACCGTATTATATTTATGAAGAGCAAAAAAAATGTACTTAGGAAAGTAACGTTATTTATTTTTTTTTTTTCTAAGCACTCTCTAGTTTTTTGTTTTTTTTTTCTTTCTATATACCATTTACTAGTCGACCCCTGCCAATTGCATTAAAATTATATATAAGGCAAGGCTCGCTCTTCGTACATCAACGCAACCCTCTACTCATCTGCGTCTTTTTTTCTTCGTTCTACCAAACTTCTTTGTCACCGTTGCCACTTCTTGATCAGTTGTCAATGCTGTTGTTGTTGTAGTTGTAGTTGTTGTTGTTGTTGTTGTTGTCCCTGTCGTTGTTGTTGTACCTCTATTAATCATTTCTTTTATCGCAACATCCTCTTCAGTATCCATTGGAATAACATTTGCATTTGGATCATCCGATGAACTTGAATTCTCCTTAATATTATTCTCCGTTTCTGAATCACTTCTTTTTTCCGGATCAGAATCATTTCTTTTTTCAGGCTCTAAATCGCATTGCTCTTGATTTGTAAAATTTTCTTTCTTCACATCTAAATCAATATTAATTGTTGTTATATCTGTTTGAGAATTTTTCATCTCTATCACAGCCTCTTTTAATGTCAGATCAATGGAATTAGATTTTTCTATTTCTTTTTTATCTAATTCTTTTTTTAATAATTCCTTTTCTATTTCTTTTTTTTCTAATTCTTTCTTTTCTATTTTTTCTATTTCTTTCTTTTCTATTTCTTTCTTTTCTATTTCTTTTTTTTCTAATTCCTTCTTTTCCAATTCTTTTTTCTCTAATTCCTTTTTTTCTAATTTAATATTTTCCTTTTCTAATTCAATATTTTCTTTCTCTAATTTAATAATTTCTTTCTCTAATTTAATATCATCATTCTCTAATTTAACATCTTTTTCTAATACATTATCGAATTTATTTTGTTGTGTTGTAATTTCCTTCAATGTTTGTAAATCACTTTCCATTTGTGAATTATTATCAGAAAATTCTAAATTTTCAACACAAAATTTCAAAATTTCATCTTCTTTATTTTCAACAATTTTTACAATTTCTCTATCTTCGGATTTATTTTTTCTCATTGAATTCCAATTGCTTTCCTTTTGTTTCGTCAAATTCCAACCAATTGGTAATTTTTTCTCCATTTTTTGATTCAATGAATCGTCAAAATTTTTCTTACCCCTCTTCTTTTTCTTTGTACCACCACCTTCGAGAATTTTACATTCAGGAATAAATGGTTCTTTCATTTCAGCTTTGTGCATTGCATCAATATCAATTATTTCAACTTCCGATTGTCTTTTTGTTGATGGTAATTTTTTAATTTTTTTCTCATCAATTTTCATATTATCAATAATTTCCATTGATTTTTGATTCATTGAACTTTCACCTTTTATATCAATATCAATAATTTCCTCTTGTTTTGATAATTGAACAATTTTTTCATCTATTTCCGTTTTATCATTAATTTTTTCTTGATTTTCAATAACAACTAAATCTTCTGTTTTTAATAAATCCAATTCTGAATGTAGAACATGTTCTAAATCATCGTCGGATGATAATATTTTCATTACTTTTTCTTCTTGATTTTCTAATTTTAAATCATCTTCTTTTAATTTTAATTCAATTTCCTCAGCTTTTTGTGCTTCTTCCAATTCTGTTGAATGTATATGTTCAATATCATCATCAGAAATTGTACTTTTACTTGATTTACGTAAAATTGATGAATTTTTATCCAAATTTTCATGAATATCATCCCATTGATTTGAACCAATTTCAACCATATGATATTCCATTGATGTAAAATCATCGCCAACATCAAAATTTCCCAATTTCATTGGCGTTTCAATTGGTACAAAATAATCTTTATTTTCACTTCTTTTTTTAATTTCCTCAATTTTTTTATTCTCCACAAGATCTTCAACAACAATACTATCCTCATTTTCCTTAAGTAAATATTTCGGTTCACGTAATGATTTCTCAATAATTTTCACATTATTATTTTTTTTCACATTTCTTCGTGTTGTTTTATTTTCCATTAATACAACACTATCGTCATCATAATTAACAACATATTTTGCCTTAGCAAATTTTCTCTCTTGATCATTTGTTTTTATTTTCCATGCATTATCTCTTGCCTGTGTCATTGGACTATCGGGTATTTCACCTTGTTGAGCACATAAACTTAAACTTGTAGGCACATCACGAAATGAATCCTCACGTTCAAATATTGAACATTTACCTAATTCAGCAACTTCAGCGCAAAGTGTTTTTTTTTCTTTAACTTCTTTTATATAATCATCGGGTACACTATCAATTATTGGCTCATTTGCTGTTCTCATTTCGGCGCATATCTCGGTATGAGTGCGTAGTATTTGACCCTCGTTGACGAAATCAGTTAATGAAGTTGGACCCTCCTCAGCGCAAACACTACGTGGAGGTTCGGGTGTTGTTTCTTCATTTAGTTCACAATCCTGGCTAAAACTAATGTCCTCTTCGTCGGCAGATACTGTTATCACGGTGCCCAACGGGTTGACAACTTTAGCTACCGGCTGTCCCACCCTTTCAATAACCAATCGCCTCCCTAAACAGAAAAAGCCGTAGGCAGGTATCAATATTTTCGTTGCATTTTTCTTTATGGGTATATTTTTGTTTTTTTTTTGTTCTTGAAACAAAATTGTTTTTAAATTTTTAATTAGAAAAAAAAAATTATGGCACACAGTGAGGTATTTTAAGGGTGCTTATAGCCTCATTAACATAACCTCAAACTAATTTGTTTTTACAAAACTATAAATAAAATTTTATCAATTGTAGTATTATCAAAATAAAATATGTTTGCTCAAAATTTTGTTTAATAATTATTTTATATATTTTTTTGTTTAATGTTGATTTAACGCTAATTAAATCAATTTTAAACTCCACCTACTCACAGAAGGCAATAGAATTCATGGAGTATCAAAGAAAATGTAGTTGAGCCAATGGAAAAAAATCAAAGTCTCGAAGACTAGGGATTTAAACTTCTCCCACTCACAGAAGGCAAGGGAATTTACAGCTTTCAAAAAATTGGTTTAACCAATAAACAGAATGGAAATTGAGCAGAAAACTATATCAAGATACTCAAACCGACTAGATTTAGACAAAACAGTATTTAAACTCTACCTATTCACATAAGAAAACGCTATTCATAACCTCCAAACACGATGGAAATTAAATTTAATTAAAAAAGTATAATACCTAAGCCAAGAGCAAGAATAAATAGAGAAAATACAAGTAAAACAAGATTTAAACTCTACCTACTCACATAAGACAAAGCTTTTCATAACCTCAAAAAAAGGTTTAACCAATTAAAAAATAGAGTAGAAAAAATGGGTCAAAATACTCAAAACAAGAAACTGACTAGATTTAAACAAAAGTAAAACAATATTTAAACTCTACCTAATCACATAAAGCGGGTCTTTTCATAACCTCCAAAAAATGATGAATAACCAGGCCAAGAGCATAAATACAAAGCGAAAATTAGATTTAAACAATTTTTTAATTCCACCTACTCACAGAAGAATAAAATTTCAATTTTAATTTACAGCTGCCAAAAAAAATGACGGAGAATAGTTTTAATAAAGGGAATATTAACCAAAATTCTGAAGACAAGGCAATTTAGACAAACAAATATGAAACTCTACCTACTCACAGAGGGCAAAAACCATTTATAGCTTCCAAAATAAAATATAATATAAGAAATAAAAAATTTTGGAAGGCGAGACAATTAAAGAAAGATTTAAACTTCACCTACTCACAGAAGGCAAGGCTATACAAAACCTCTAATAAACGATGGAAATTAAATTTAATAAATAAAAATGAAGTTTAATAGCTAGGCCAAGAGCAAGAATATATAGAGAAAATACAAGTAGAACAAGATTTAAACTCCACCTACTCACATAAAACAAAGCTTTTCATAACCTCAAAAAAGGTTTAATTAATAAAAAAATAGAATAGAAAAAATGGGTCAAAATACTCAAAACAAGAAATTGACTAGATTTAAACAAGTAAAACAATATTTAAACTCTACCTACTCACATAAGATAAAGCTTTTCATAACCTCAAAAAAAGGTTTAACCAATAAAAAAATAGAGTAGAAAAAATGGGTGAAAATACTCAAAACAAGAAACTGACTAGATTTAAACAAAAGTAAAACAATATTTAAACTCTACCTACTCACATAAAGCGGGTCTTTTCATAACCTCCAAAATATGATGAATAACCAGGCCAAGATCATAAATACAAAGCGAAAATTAGATTTAAACAATTTTTTAATTCCACCTACTCACAGAAGAATAAAATTTCAATTTTAATTTACAGCTGCAAAAAAATGACGGAGAATAGTTTTAATAAAGGGAATATTAACCAAAATTCTGAAAACAAGGCAATTTAGACAAACAAAAATGAAACTCTACCTACTCACAGAGGGCAAAAACAATTTATAGCTTCCAAAATAAAATATAATAGGAAATAAAAAATATTGGACAAAGGCCTTGAAAACAAGGCGAGACAATAAAAGCAAGATTTAAACTCCACCTACTCACATAAGGCAAAGCTATTCATAAACGCCAAAAACAAGGGAAATTAAATTTTATAAATAAAAAAATTATAATATCTAGGCCAAGAGCAAGAATATATAGAGAAAATTAGATTTATACAAGTAAAACAAGATTTAAACTCAACCTACTCACATAAGGCAAAGTTTTTCATAACCTCCAAAAAAAGATTTAACCAATAAAAACAATATTAACGACACCAATAGAATGAATACATAGTGAAAATTAAAATTAAACTAAAACAAAATTTAAACTCCACCTACTTACATAAGGAAAGAAAATTCATAGTTTCCAAATGAAAATATGAAGCCAATGCCAAAAAATGTGATACCAAGGTCCAGAAGACAGGGTAAAGATTAGATTTAGATAAAAATAATATATTTAAACTTCACCTACTCACAGAAGGCGAATATTAAATTACAGTTTTTCTTTACATGCCTTTTTTTGTTTCAAAAATTTATAAAATCATAATGAGAAATAATTCCAAGTGATACAAACTAAATTATTTTATCATTTCAACGACATTGGTAAGAATTTTTGAGTGTCACCTTAAAAAAAGTGTTTAAAAAATATTTAATTCATCATTTAATTTTTTTAAAAAATTCAAATTTATTTAAAAAAAAAATTTATAAAAAAAAATTGTTTATCTTGAAGTAAATAAAAAAAATTTCCCTCACTTTTGTGCCAAATCAGTAGTATATCAATTTTTTTTTAAAAAAAGGTGAATTATAAAAATGAAATAAAAACCAAGAGAAACAAATTTGTACAATTATTCTGAAAAATATTTAAAACAAAATATAAAAATTTTGCAAGAAAAAAAAATATTTCAATCGAAATCGGACATTAAATTGACTAAAATATTATATTTTTTTGATTTATTTTATTAGAAATAAAAAAAATTTATAAAAATAATGGAAAAATATTTTTATTTATTTTAACTTTTTAAATTTATGAAAAAAATTTTTTAAATTAAAAAAATTATAGTTGCAAAATGATTGTCAAATGTGAAAGTACAATATCCGATTTCCCTTCAACAATTTAATTTTTTTAAAATTTTTACCTGGTTCAAAATACTGAAAAACATAAAAAAACACACAACAGCAGAAAATTATTATTTATAAAAATTATTTTTAAATACAGAATATATACTATTAATAGTATATAAGTATAATTAAATTATTAAATTAAATCAACAATTAATAATTAACAATGAGGCACTCCAGAGCTCGTAATTTAGCAAAATAAATAAACAATTAAAGGAATTACATAATTATTATTGATTATCAGAAAGATAAAAAAAATTAAAATGAATAAAAATATAAAATAAATCTTCTCTTTTATATGAAATAGTTTTTATGCAACACAGACGTATTATGGTTACTTTACGATACCAGTTTATCGTAAGAAACGGTTTCCATATATGTACGTATAAATAAAAAAAATATTTATCTAAAAATAAAAAAAAAAAGAAATTGTCTCGAAACTGATAACTAAACTAATTTTAAAATACTACTGAATTAATAAAAATATTTGTCATTTCGTTCAGAAAGCAAAAAAAAAAAAAAAAACTGTGAATTTGAAAGCAAAAATTGTGAAAATCGTGCCTGATGCATTATTATTGAAAAAAGTATCCATAAATTTAAGGTTTAAATTTCATGAAGAGAAGTCAGAAGAGCAAAGAAGATAGCGATGCTAGAAAAGATCAGGGAGGAGGTTTAAAAAATTGCTGAAATCTAGTGACGTTGAAAAAGAAAGTTAATTGAAGTTAAAATCAGCGTGTCTATTGACAACCTCATTTAAAATTCCAGGACAATTCCAGGACAAAATTTTAATACATGTTTTTATTTTTTTAACATTCTATATTTTTAAAACTAATTCTATATTTTTTAAAATCTTTTCTTTACTTTAAAATTAATAATAATTGAAAGATTATTAATAAACTCTGGACTGCGCTTTATTATTGCAAATTAGATTATAGTTGCGTTCATGGTTTTACAGAAGGTATCAAGGAAAAGAAAAGAAAGTTTGCATCCGAGCTAGTGTATTAGGAAGTAAAGTTATGAAAGATAAAAAGTGAAGAAGTTCCATTAGAAGAACCTAGAACATTAGAAAGTACAGCCATGGAAGTTAAAAAAGTGGAAGGAGACCAATTAGTACAATCTAGAGCAGAAGAAATAGAGCCATTAAGAAGTACAGCCATGGAAACTAAAAAAAGTCAAAGGAGTCCCATTAGTCCAAGCTACAGCATTAAGAAGTACAATCGTGGAAGCTAAAAAAAATATAAAAAGCCCCAATAATCAAAGCTAGAGGATTAAAAATTACATTTATGAAAGCTAAAAAGTGGAACAAGTCTCATTAGTTTAACTTAGAGCATTAAGAAGTACAGCCATGGTAACTAAAACAATTAGCCCAAGTTACAGCATTAAGAAATACAACTGTAGAAGCTACAATAGCATAAAAAGCCTCATTAGTCCAATCTGCAGCATTAATAATTACAGGCATAGAAGCCAAAAAGTGGTAGAAGCCCCATTAGTCCAAGTTACTGCATTAATACGTACAGTCACGGAAGCTAAAGAAAGTGAAAAAAGCTCCAATAGTCCAGAAGCCATGAAAGATCAAGTGAAGAAAACTTCCAAATAAGGTGGACGTGAAGGCAACAGACCCTAACGTCCCAGACAGAGCTGAAGATGATGAGAGGATTAACAACGGTGATCAGAGTCGCTGCAAGAAAGTCGTATACCTACATTCTGAAAAAACTCCACAAGAAAGTTCTTCCAGACGTCAGTAACACAAAAGTAGAAGATGCAAAACCTACAAAAATGGGAGACCTGATTAAAATCGGAAACAATATCAATTAGCCGAAGCCAGGAAACAGGTCCTAGTACCCAACAAGCAAGGGATGAAGCTCACAGTTATAGTCACCGACCCAGAAGAGGAGGACAGATTGAAGCAGTTCATGAGGATCTCCATAAGGCGAAGAAGAAAAAGCAAGAGAAGTCATCTCTCATCTCATCCTAAGCAAACCAATAAGAAGAAAGCGGCGAGTGGATCTACAATAGTGATCCGAGTCGCAACAGAAACAACGTATATCGACGTACTGAGCATATTTCGGAAGGAAAGGAATCCGGACGTCAGTCACACGCAGGTCGTAGGTGCAAGGCCAACAAGAAAGGGAGATCTCCTGATCAAAATCAGAGGAGACTGCAATAAGGAGGCATTCACTGCTGAGGTCACCAAAGCGGTTGGAAGTATGAGGAAGGTGGACTAACAGGTCACATTGGAGATCCACGACCCGGTTTGCCTTACCCAGGAAAAAGAGGTTTAACAGGCGTTGGCGAAAGTGCTCTAGAAAGCACGGTCTTAGGATGAAACCGACGAGGAATGAAGCTCATGGTTTTAGTCACCGACCCATAGGAGGCGTACAAGCTGGAGCATTTGAAGCTAAAAATAGGTTTTATGTCTTGTTTAATAAAGAAAAGATCGGCAATGAAAGAATCGCAAAAGCGAGATCCCAGGGATCTTTATCTACAAAGTTTAAAGTCTGATGGCAGTTCAGTAGTATAAGGATTAGTCCAGTCAAAGCGTGTGGTTTTTAATGGGTCGATCAGAACAAGAACCATCATCCTAGCTTAACCTCGGAGCATCGGGCTCCAGATATCTGCCTTGGATACTAAGGGTTATGCAGATTTTCCACTTCCTTCGTAAAACAAAAAAAAGTCCAATTAGACGACTTTTACTCTGAGTTACCCGAGTTTTTAGAAGCATTATCAGAAAGTGGATGGAAAATTACCTCTAAAAATCCGCGATTTGGATTGATTTACCATGAAAGAAGAAGTCCAGACATTGTTACAAGTGCTCCGAAAACCAGAAAGCAAAAAGAGGAGTCAGCATCCAAACATTGTGGAGTAATGCTCGAATTTATATACACTAAAAAATTTGGGTGACGTATCGTTCCAATTTACCGAAAATTCACGAAGTGTGGAACGACTTCAATTCGGGCAAGTCATGTTTCTAGCTTGATGGCACTGATCGCCCAAGGTGGTACTAATGCATTTCCAGGTTTGGGAACCAAATCTACAGTGGAACTACTAATGGGAATATCGAAATAGTCATGGATGTTTTTTTCTTATAATTTTGCCAAAAATTTTGAGAAAACAACCAGCTTGTTCTGACAAGATTCCAAGCCAATAATTGCCAAATTGCATTCTATACTAGTAACTATTCATTTGCTAAAACAATTTTGTCTGATTTAATTTTATTAAATAAATAACTTTAATTAAATAAATTTAACGAAAGAGTAAATGATTATACTTTCATGAACCGGTAGAATTAAATAGCAATAGGCAAAACAAATGCTGACATGTATTTATTTAGATAAAAAAAATTAAATCTTACAGAGGGTATATTACTTTCCTTTAATTCAGTTTTAATCTACGAATGGAAAATATAATTCTTGTTTACTGAAAAATAATTTTCTATTAACTATAATTATTATTTCAAGGATATGAAATTCTAAAAAATCAAAGGCAAATGAAATAATTCACAAAAAAAATTTTTTTTTAGTGAATTTGATGTTTCTCTTGAATGTATCGCTAATAGCTAAAGAAAAAATGTATATATTTTTTTATTGTTTTATAACAATAGAAAAAATGTGTTTTGCATATACACACACATACTTCTTGGCACGATTCAGTTATCCGGGGGGAAAAAAAAGAAGAAAGATTAACATAATTAGAATGAAAGACAAGTTAAGTAAAAAAAAAAGAACAACAACACTAGTAGATTCTATAAATTATGTCTTTCTTTTAGATTAGGAAAGAATAATATATACAATGTACATTTGTTTAATTTATTAGGTTTCAAGATCAAAAATTATATTATAGGAGGGTGTGATACCTGCCTCTGGCCAATTCTTTATTCACGCAAACTTATATAACGCTATTCTCATCCGTCACCAAGTGCATGAAAAGTGTCAATGTGCTCGCAAATATCAATAAATTGCAGTACAATGAATGCGCACATAATCATCAAGCACTCTATTTATTTGTGATTCGCATTGTTTTTTTTTTGGAGACTAGAAACTATACTTTAATTTAATGTTTCTCTAACATTAAATTCAGTTTTTTTTTGGGGCAGGGGTATTTAATTTTACAAAATATGAAATGAAAATGAAGCGTTCAGAAAAATCATAATTAGAATAATTATCTCGCAAAGAACACTGGTCTTAAATCAGGTTTTGTTTTTAATTGCATGCGGAGGAAAATAATTCTACATAAATTATTTTAATTTTACAACAAAAAATTGAAAAATTAAAATTAATTTTACTGTAATATCATTTTCTTCCTCACGATATTAATTTACAGAGAAGCAGAGCCATTATTTATTTTAGGCATTAATAAATTGCGCATTTAGACTTTTTTAGAGATATAATTACTTTTAAGCTTAAACTATGCTTTTCCTGAAGGCATCACACAATGTTATTCTCGAATTGTATGGGAAAATTTATCTTAAATATGTTTCTAATATTTAAAAATCAATTAGTACATATATTGTGAATAATATTATACAATCGAGCATACAGGGGGATGTATGGCAGCATTTTTTTTCCATGAATTTAAAGTCTACTTTCGCTCTATGTCGTGTAGTCAAATGCCTTTTATTTCAAAAAAAAAGAGAAAAAAGTTTACTCAAAAAAAATGTTTCAAACATGAATTATTAGTATTACTTTATTTTTGTTTTAGCTTTTAAATATTATAATCTTGTGAATGAATGTCAAGGTACAAACGAAAATACTTTTTCGACTACTTCTAATCATTCATCAATTTTCACCAAATTTGAAAATTAAGTCTAGACATAGAAAAATATTGGCGCATAGAGCCAATATTAACGAGCCTTGTTTTTTTTTTAATAAATATATAGATTTACAAATCATAAATAACTAAATTCTAATTTTAAAAAATGCAATTACAAAACAAGCTTTTGTTTTTTTGTATATGTTTCAAAGAAAGAATTTAAAATTTTGTTTGTTTTTAATTTTGAGTGTACTTTAGAGAGTAATTTGTTTTTTTTATGAAAAATATAAAAATATTATTTATCTTACCCGGTCCTCGATGTGGAGCTGCTGATGTTTCCAACATTGCTTCAGCTAGATCTTCTCGAAGTTGATTTTCACCACTGACTATTCCAATATTTTCATTTTCTAATGAATCACCATAGGCTTCCATAAATCTTGGCGATTGCTCATAACTGCCTATTTAAACAATAAATGTGCAATCGTTAGAATTTAATTTAAATTAACAATTTATAAATCTACACATCAATTAATTGTAATTGAAATTTTTAATGAAAATTAATTGATATTAAAATTAAAAAACTTGAAATATTAAAAAAAATTAATTTAATGATTTAATTCATCTAGATGATATTGAAAGGATTCAACTCTCATTCTTCAAGAGGCTACTTTGGTTACCAAATAACATTCCTAACTATGCAGTCAGGTTGGAAACGGACTCTTTTCGCCTTTCGTATGGGGTTCTCTTGAATATACTGAACTGGATATGTAAGATTTCTAAGATAAACATTTCAAGGTACCCCAGACAGTGTTTTGAGGGACTGGTACGAATTGCAACTAGGGCTCCTGAATGCCGATCTAACTGGCTGTTACAATTGGAAAATGCTTTTGACCTACAGTCTGAATGTTAATTGGACGTCCTTATCTTTGGACTCCATGGTGCGAAATAAGGAAGTTACCCCTGTCTTTCTATTAATCAGGGCCCGCAACCCTATCTGATTTCACGCTTTCTTGTACAAATCAAAAGAATTTTTTCACAAATAAAACTTTTAAATAAATATGTTTATAGGATATGTCTGAGAAAAATTGTATATAGGTTTGGTAGAGAGGAAAATTGTTCATTTTGTTATCAGGAATGAGAGAATCTTTTTCACATTGTAACGCTAATTTAGATATTAGAAATATTAGTTAAAATAATAATATTCCACAATCCCGTGTTTAAATTACGTACTGTGATTTCTCTACACATTACTCTCCGGCATATGAGCCTCTCTCATGGGGAGATTCCACTGAAACGATCGAGAAACACGACGACGACCTGATTTGAACTACCTGTTACCTTTTGTATTGCACTCACGAAACACACTCTTGTGGAGATAATCCGCTGGACGACGATGTGGCTGCGACTTAACCCAATGAATATAGAAACGCACACAATTAACTAATAATAACTATTTATTAACAATACTCGTACTTCATACACTAAATATATTAGATAATTTCAATAGTCTTCCTACTATCCTTTGTCGGCACACATCCGCCTTACACGGCAGCTCGGATTGATCTCTCGATTGATTATTGCGCGCCCTCTTCCTTCCTGCTGGCCCTTGGTCGGTGAGAATCCGGAAATATCTGGAACTTCCTAATCCTTCATTGGACAACGAACCACCTATACTAAGGAAAACCGCTGACACACACAATCACACACTCATATGAATAGATCTCCCTGCTTGACATATTCGACGCTGATACTAATATATAGAATTCTCGACCATATAATGAATATTGGGGACTTATATCTAAATAACGATATACTTCGTTATAACATTCTATCTAATTGTCCAGCATGTATTCATTTGTGCGCGGATGCCTTTTCTGATGTTTGTTCTAATTCTAATCCAGTGGAAGGATGACTTTAGGTTTTACATTCCTCAGAAATAAGAATTGTTAAATCTTTTGTAAAAATATTTAGTCAATTGCTGCATAAACAACATAATAATGAAATGAAAGAGTATAAATGTGTTACAGTCACTTCTATCGATTGTTTTTTGTTTAAATAATTTTGTATAAATGTAATTTCATCTTATAATTTAGTTTTAGTCTCTTGCGATAGCGATTCTCCACTTGTACTCATGTAAAGAGGTAGACAAGTGTAAATAAATTATTTCTGCAAATGTTTACTTCTATTCTTACGTCCATGATATTAAGTTAACAAATAAAATAAAATGTTTTAACCCAAAAAAATATTTTAGTATTTTATTTTATACTTACTTCCAGAACCATCGATGACAACAGGCATCAAAGGTCTACTAGCTGCGTGCGGCATATTAACAGGATTTGATCTTGCCGGACGAGATCCGCTCGAAACAGAAATTTCAACTGTTTCCGCTTCAACCAAATTAACAGCAACTCTAAATTTGGGAAAAATAAATTTTTTTCTAAAAACTCTGAATGTTTACTTCTTATTTTTTTTTCTCAAAAAGCATTAAACATACCCACTAGGTGCGTTGTAAGTTTTAAAAACAAATTGAGGCCCCATCCAAAGTCTTCTATGAGGTCCAGCGTGTGTTACAATTTCAACTTGACTAAGCCATCGATCCTCATCAGATTCAAGTTGTTGTAAATTTTTAGGTAACATGGATACACCTAAAAATTGACTTGAGGGAAGCAAAGGAGGGACAATTTCCATTGAACCGGGAGAACGTAAAAGTGGCCATTGTCCTTTTGCTTCCACTTCTAATTCAATAGAAGTATCATCACAAACTTTTTCCTTCGGTACACCTGTAATAATTGTAATTAAAATTGTTAAAGAAACAGAGTGTTTCGAAAGCCGTAACAATATAAAAATTATTACCTGCTGCTGGCTTTGGCTCAAGATCATATTGAATCATATTTCCATGGCAAGCCATTATAAATAGTGAATCAACAGCTTTTTTCGTAACTTTGTTGGAGGAATCACGTTGTGCGTAAATCCAAGCTCGAGGTGGTGCAAAGCAAGCGCAAATTTTTAATGGTAATGTCACACTTTCATCTGAATGTGATATTCTTTGCTTTGGCTGTGGTCTTCCACTAGATGAAGAAAAAAGTGAAATTATAAATTATCACATAGAAAAATATTTTCCATACATACCTTGTTTGTGATTGGCTGTTGACATGATTTAACGTCGATGGTTGTCGAATTTGTGCCAATGGATGTAAAATTGTTGGATGAGGATAAGGTGGAAGTCTAGGATTTGTATAAGGATAAACGGATAGAGGCAGTTCAGCATAAGAAACTGGAGAATGTGATCTAGTACTATCATCAGTTAGACCTGCACTTCGATGAAATCTCGATAGTCTATTGACAACATGAGGTGTTGAATGAGTTCGAACTCCAACAGGACCGCCATAGGGCGCCACTGGAAATACATGAGTTGTGCCACGAACTGTTGAAATTGCTGCCCAACGTGTGTCACTCGAAAATGTCATATCCTAGATGAAGAGAAAATGTTATTTCTATTTCGATTTTTTTTTTTTAATTAAATAATTACTTGAACTTTTGCCGTAGTATCGCCACGATGTAGTACGTATAAATGATGAACAGCGGCAAGTGAAGGACCACCTGGATGGGGTTGTATTCGAAAAATATGAAAATCATGCCCACGTTTGTCAGCGGTCATTAATAACGATCCAGTAAGATCGAATGTCATTGCAACAATTGCATCATTGTGAGCGGTAAAATGTGCAACAACCGTTTCTATGGTTTTATCTAAATCTTTTTCCTCTTTTGCTGCTTGAAGATCAAGAATTGTTACAACACCCGGTTGTGTCACATCAGTACCGGTATTATTAACCACCATTGGCGATACCGAATTTCCTGTTAGACTTGATGCTACCGTTTCTCCCAAACCCCGTAATCCCTTGCCAAGTGATTTTGCTGCATAAAGAACAGCTGCTGTGTAACTTTGTACACCTTCACCTTCACTTCCACCACTACTTCTTCTAGCTAGTATCAATTTTTTTTCACTGCAAATAAAATCCCTGCTTTAGTAAAACAACTACTATCATTAGTTTTATGAAAATTTTACCTGTAAGCAAGCCATCTTGTGCCAAGTGAAACTGGATTAGGATTTGGACCTGGACTTGGATAGCATGTGGTAACAGTAAAAACATCCTCAAGTGTTCGAGCATCAAAAACAGCGATCTTTTCAACAAATGTGACAACGACTGATCTCTTATTAGCGAGGACGTCGCATACTGGATTTTTGAATTTTATGCTCTTAACTTGCTCCCCAGTTTTCATGGAAATAAAACTGACACTGCAGAATTGTGGTCCAGGACCAGCTGAGTCACATATTGCAACCAGTGGTCGTTTAGATTTAAAAGGATCATTTCGTTCGTCATCGACTTTTGGATTTGACAATACTCTCAAAGTACGTACAACACCCTGTCGCCATGATAAAATCTCAGATGCTTCTCCAGTTGCCGACACTAACCATACCTAAATTAGATATTGTACTTTACATTCCCGAATACTAATTTATATAACTATTATCGAAAAAACTAAAAGTATATACCTGCACACCGGTCGTATAACCAAGAACTAATAATAATGGAGGAGTATTAGATCCTTCGATATAGTCAGAATAAAAAGAAGGATCATTTATATCAGCATATTCGAATCTCGCCCATGTTATAGATTCTTTGTTGTCTGAATTTGGTACGCCAGTGTAGGCCTAATTATACATATACAAATAAATATTGGAGAATATTCGTAAAACTCAAATCTATTGGAGGAAGGAAGAATTTTACTTACTTGGGGAACAATGTCATTAATAATACCAGCCACACTGTCTATAATGGTACGATCGCTGATTGGCTGAGGCGTTATCACCAGGGCTCCTTTTTGTCCCCCCCTTCTTGGTGAATCCGCCGACATTGTCCTTTTCTATACAAGTTTCTACTTCCTAAAATGTGAAATTAGGTATTGCATAAATCCGGTCCTGACGGTTTGACGGCATTTTGAAAATTCGTGACACTTCTATAATAATTTTATTAGTTTATGGTTACATTGATTACACCATGCGCTATAAATTAATAAAATTATTATAGACACGACATTTCAAAATGTCGTCAAACTAGAAAGAGAGTATTTATGAAATTGGGTGTATTATCGCATCGCTCCCAATTTCCACTAACTTATTATACCGATCATACTAATACATCAAACAGCCACACTATTTTTATCCAGTCATCCCTGAATCTTCTTTCCCCTATCACAGTAAAAATCCGGACTCAAAATGATCCATCCAGCAGGATCATTTTGATCCGCAGCAAAAATGAGTCAAGTAGGTGGCGTCACGTTCTATGTCGTTTAGTATTGGCTCATTTTAAACCTCAGCAAAAATGAGCACAGGTTTTTACTGTGATCACCAAAAATTGTTCCCATCAAATTTCCTCTTTTCTAAATCCTCTTACACTCTAAATCTGAATCAGTGAAAATTTCACTGATTTCAATTCAGTGGACGAGTTTTCTTTGATGAATCAATGGAATTTCACTGATAATCAGTGGTTTTTTTTACTGATTCTCAGTAAAATTCCACTGATTCATCAAAGGACACTCGTCCACTGAATTGAAATCAGTGCAATTTTCACTGATTCAGAATTAGAGTGCAGTTACATTCGACTTCTGACCTCCATTAACGGTCATTCATAAATTAACAATGATTTTAGTGCGATAAATGTCAAAGCTGTTTCTGATAGGTTTTTTCATGCAGATTACAAATCCATAAGTGGAAAGTGTTCATCAGCTCTAGTTTTTGATTTAAAACGCGGAGTCAATCGAGTTCTTTTTTGCAATGTTTGAGTACCTTTAGCAAAGCGCATGATTATTCCATAATGTGAATCATTTAGAATTTTATTATATAGAATTTTCCTTTATTCGAATTTGTGTTTTTCGAATTAATGTTTAATAGAATTTAAATAAAAATTATTATAAAATAATTTCCATTTATCACACTTTTAATTCAAAAGAATTTTTATTTATCAGAATTTCTATTAAACAGAATTTTGTCTGAGTCGAATTTTTAAATGCCATAATTTTCATTAAACCAAATCTTCATTTATCCGAATTTTTATTAACACAAAATGCCATTTAATAGAAATCTTAAAACACAGAATTTTTATTTATCCTACATTGCAAATGGTTGAATAATCAAATGGCAGAAATATTTTGGCGCCAATTATAAAATTGACCAATCAGAAACTGTCAAGAAAATTGTGATTGGTCAATTTTAAAATTGGCGCCAAAATATTTCTACCGTTTGATTATTCGACCATTTGCAATGTGGGATAAATGAAAATTCTAAGTTTTAAGATTTCTATTAAATAATATTTTGTGTTAATAAAAATTCGGACAATTGAAGATTTGGTTTAATGAAAATTATGTCATTTAAAAATTCGACTCAGACAAAATTCTGACAATTTTTACTCCAGAAATAGTAAAATTTACTACGAAAATAGTATAAATTATTCCGGAAATAATAAATTTTACTATTTCTGGAGTAAAAATTGCCAGAAATGCGCAGAAACTACGGACAGTTCAGGTTTTACTTTTAAATTATATAGTAAAAGTTACTAAATTCGTTTTTCCATTTTTGTCCGTGAATAAAAAAATAATTTTTATACAATTTTATTGACTTATATTTTTTATATAAATATTTTATAATTTTCACCGAAAAGTGTATAATTAAATTTTTGAAAATTAATTTTTGCGTATACTTTAATAACCATTTTTCAATTTTGAAGTTATGTTATTGCCTCCATCCTCCTTAAAAAACTATATAGCTAATGGAAACTTTTCACTTACAGATTAGTAATTTTTTATTTAATTAAATTTTCATAAAATGGATTTTCTATTAACTGAACTTTCATTACTGCAGAATACCTTGTTAAAGTTCCTTGTAACAAAATACTTATATACAACATTGTTTGTAAATTTAAAAAAAATGTATGTTTAATTATATTACAAAAGCGCAAAAAAACAAAGAAACCAAAAGTAAAATAAAACCAAAAAACTATATTATTAAAAATTATTTTGTAAAATTATTTTCAAAAAAATTAAATTAATGAAAATTCAATTAAAGAAAAAATTTTCTTAAGGGGATGTAAAAGTGCTGATACTTCAACAGCTTTTATGTAAAAAGTATCGCAACTTTGACATGCCCTTAAGAAAAAATTATTTTTCTAAAAAAGAATTCATAAAAAAAATATTTATTATTATTGTTATTATTATTATTATTATTATTATTAATAATAATAATAATCAATAATAATTATAATTATAATTAATTATAATTATTTTATTATTATTTATTTATCACGAACTTTGACATGTCCTTAAGAAAAAATGTTTTTCTAAAAAAGAATTCATAAAAAAAATTATTTTTAACAATTGTTAATAAAGAAAAAAAAGTTATTAATTTTTTTTTCATCTTAATTGAACTTTAAAAAATTGTTGGTTATTTATTTTTTTTATTTAATTTTAATTATTTATTTTCAATATTTATTAATAAAAAAAAAGTATAAATATTTTTGTTATTTTAATTTGACTTGAAAATATTTGCCTTTTTTTATATCTTGAAATATTTTAATGTGCTAAAATTAAAAGTTTTATAAGTTAGAAAAAATTATTTTTAACTTATTTCTTGAGACGCTATTTTTATTTTACAAGAGAGAATTAAAAAAAAAACTTGATAATTTCGATTTATAATTAGATAGAGACTTTAAAAAAAATATACATATGTGTATACATATATATATATATATATAGATCTATGTAATGTCCTTTGTTTACAAAACATCTTTTCTCTATACCATAAGAGTCACTTTTAATAAAACCTTTTTTAATTTTCCCTTTTATTATCGTCATAAAAAAAAATCACGCATATAAAAAATGGATCAACTGATACTAAACAGTAAACTGTTAATTAGTGTCGCAATCTTTCAAATGATTAAAATATATACTTTATATACACACGAATGAGTCAAAAGTCTACTTCATTTTATCTCGAATCTAAATAAGAATTGATTAAATAATTCATTTGTTTGTAATTGTCAATAAACTATGGAAACGAAAAAAAAAACAATCAACTAAGAGAAAGAATAAAAAATACATTTAATTATTATTGCATAAAAAAGCGTAGGCGATCGCAAGGTAAAAAATAGAACCTTCCGAGTAACAAAGAAAACATGAAACAAGTATCGCACTCTACATTCAGTTTTTGTTTATATTAAAATCAAATGTTTTCATTTTAAATGTTTCGCGATTATAATATAAACATTTTTGAAAGCAAATTTTTTTTTTAAATTCTACTTACTTTACGGAAAAATCGAGGTTTCATGATGCGAGGTACATCAGGCCAAACAAGGAGCGTTTACTGCGTCATTTTGTTAGAACACTTGAACCAACTGATCACTGACAGTTAAAGCGCACAGCCAAACAACAAATGATGTCATATACAACACACATACACACGCGCGAGCGCGAAACGTCAATCGTGCCCTTGCGCATAACAATTTTCCCCAAAAAGAAAGAAAAAAAATTATTATCCACGCAAATTATTATTTAAGAAATTTTTATTAATGTTCAATTTATGTTAAATTTATCATAAGATTAATAATTTTTTACACAATGATATAATTTAGTAATTATGTTGATTTACAAAAAAAAAAGAGAGAATTTTTTTTCTAAGAAAATAAACGAAAACAATGATCAGCTGATTTTAAAGTAAACCAATGTTTCTTTGTGCGCTCTATACCAACAGACGGACATACCTACCAAATTTGGACGCGTCCATTCCGGTGTAGTTGATTTTTGATTGGTTCGCGGGAAACATTTAAATTTTGACAGTCAACGAAACAGAGATGGATAGGTGTGATACAAACGTAGAGAGTTCAAAAAGTGTTAACTTCAGACTGCTATGATGTAAAGGCCAACGCACAAATATTAAATTTTTTTTTTGTTGCCGAACCCTGACATTTGTTTTCTAATTTTACCCATCTATGTGATTTCTTTTTTTCTCTGCTTGATTTTGTTGTCAAGGCGATTATATTTAATAAAAAAGGAGTAAATTTAAAGAAAACGAAAAAAATCTGTTTTTAGAAATAATAATTAAATAATAAATAATAATTTGCAAAATCTTAAATTTTTAAAAAGTTTAATAGTTTTTGGTTAATTAATTAAAAATCATTTGGTTTAATTTCATTCAGAACGATCTAACAATTGATTATTTTTTGATAAAAAGAAATATTAACTATATCATAATGATTAATTTAATAATTTATCATTTTAATTATTTATTAAATTTCTTTTATTAAGTAATATTTATTTTTTTTTGTAAAGTAAAAATATTCTACTACGAAACGATAGATATGACATTTATTTGTCTATATATAAAAGAAGAAGTGAATAAGAAAATAAACAGCTGATCAACCGAACAATTACGGAAATCATAAATTTAAAAATAAATCTATTTTAAATTATTCTATTAAATAATTACAAATAATTAAATTTAAGAATACAATGTCCTTTTAAATTTTGACAATAGCTGAGTAAAAATTTGCCGACATTTTCTTAAGGTCGAAATTTTTTTTTTTATTAAATTCACATTTTTCTTTTCAAAACAATAAATAAAAAAAATACAACTTGAACAGTTTTGCGAAATTTTTATATTTATACAAGTTATTGTTATAAACATTTTATTGCATGAATTTATAAAAACTTGTTTTTCTATTAATCTAATTAAAATAAAACTTTTCAATGATTCTAGATTAAATTACGAGTAATATGCAACAAAAAAAAAGTTAATATTTTTATTATTTGTTTAATTAAATTATTTATATTTTTAACAAATTAATTAAATTTTTCAAATAATTAATATCAATCGAAAGCAGCTTTACTTTTAAATTTTTGAATGTTTGAACTTATTAATTTCTCAGAACCGAAATCCAAATTTGATAAGAAAATAAATATAAATACGTATAATAGTAGGGTAAGTGTACCAATTACGGCGCGTTCATAAAAAATAACTATTATTACTATTATATTTAATATAACTGTTGCAAAATGATTAAAAAAATTATTTTAATCTTTTTTTTTTATTGTATTTTTTTTATTTTATTTAGGTTTTGTTAGGGTGGTTTTGTTTTTATTAATTTGACACCGCAATTGACCATTATTTCTATGACTTGACATATGTTTCTTATTTGACTCCCTGAAGAGGAAATCATTTAGATTTCGAAACGTTGGAGTAAACCTTTATTAAAACAACAATGGTCTTCTAATTAATCTTTTTTTGATACTATTATAAAGATGTAGATTTAAACAATTATTAATTTAATTATTTGTGATCAAATTTTTTCCCTCGCCATAATTGAGATATTTTTAAGATTTACATTGGCTTCAATTACGGCGGGCAAAGTATCTTTAAAATACACGTAATTTTGGTCACCGAAATTTATACAAACACGCCGTAATAGAAAATTACGGTATTAGTTTTAATTTCTCATATTTGTTTAAATATCTAAATAACATAAGCGCTTTTAGTTTAATAAGTCTTCAACTGAATTTATACAATAGAAATGTCGAATTTTCTATTTCAAAGGTATTTTGACGCTAATCGCGCCGTAATTAGTACATTTACCCTATATATCTCCGGTGTAAGTGTTAATAAATGCTATCACTGAATCAATATCAATTATATTTATTTATTTATTCAATTACAAAGTTCCTAGGGCTAATAATCCGTCAAAAAAAAGAGAACAATGTTACAAGTACAATGTATATAATTTGCATTATAGATCTTAATACAATAAAAAATCACAATATGCAATAAAAAAAGAATTAAAAAAAAATTTATTAAACAATATTAATACTAATATTAAATTTAATAAAATTTAACAATAAAAATATCAAAAGGAGATTTTTTATGCCAAGAAAAAATGAAAATTAAAGGGGAAATTTAGAGAATTTTGAAAATGAGATTCTACTGCTATTATTGCTTGCTTTTTATTAATAGAATTTATAAAAAAAAAACATTTCACTTACAAATCACAATAAATATATTTCTCATATTTATATATACAAACGATTATTTAACATCTATTTTACAATAATAATATTATAGAAATTGTCGATACGACAAAGCGTTTAAATTTAAAAAAAAAAAATATTTACATATTATTTAATTATATAAATAAAAAAAAAAAAGTTCAAGATCTAACAGGAGATGAAACAGTTGATTTTCTTGAACAACCCTTACAAGTTGGTACTGGACGTTGAGATTCATGACCTACAAGTATTCTTTCAACTCCCATACATTTTAAGCAGAAAATATTTCCACAAGAAAAACAATGATACTGAAAAATAAATATTATACATAAATTATATACATTATTATTAATCCAGGCTCCCTATTAAATTGTGTCCCAAAAATCATACTAGACTTCTGACAACGGATTCATGAAGAGTGGGAAAAGGTAGATAATATGTATATGTTTTCAACTCTAGATTTTTTAAGCTGTGCTGTTAAAAAATTATAAAAGCTCTGCTAAAACAAGTTTTTCAATTACCATTAATTCCCCTGACATTTTAGAAGAAAAAGTTCTGTACAAGAATTGTAGAGCTTAAAAATACCTTTAAAATGACGGGTCGCAAGTTAAAAAATAGTAATTTTTTTAGTTGCATTTGAATTTAAACCATTAAAATCGTCACTTTTTTAATTGTTAATTAACTCTGAAAATAATAAATAAATAATTGTAATACTTTGTGAAAGTATGCCACTTATGACCCTTAATAAGCATACAAAATTTGGCCCTAAAAGAATAAGTAATTTTTGCAAAATTCCATTTGTTTATTAAAAACATGGTCTCCAAGTTATAACATCTTTTGTGAATTTGAAAGCTCGAAATCAATGTTGTCAGAAGTCTAGTATGATTTTTGGCACAAAATGATCACTTTTTTCATAGATAACCTGGACTATATTGAAATATTTATATTTCAAAATGTGAAATATTTTAATAAACAAAAAAATACCTTTCTATTGAAAACATCAAAGCTAGCAGAACAAATGCATTCACTTATATTCCGTGAAAATTTCCAATCCAATGCAACAGCTTTCATTTCTTTTTCAAGTTGATTTGCCTTAAGTGTAACAAATAATTTATCTTCATCTTCTTCTAAATTATTAATAATTTTCTCAGAGAAAAATTCTGTTAAATTTTTATCAAATTTAAAATGTTCATCTTTCATTGGCACATTATTTATCGTAAATAATTTTCCCAATGAATTCATTCGTCTAATTAAAAGTTTTACATGATCTTCAATTGAATTTTTATGATCGTGAAGTATATGCATATGTTCATCAAATGTTTCACGTGGATGAATACCATTTTCAAAACGATAATATAAACCACGCCAAAGTATAATTGATTGTGGCGCAAGTTTTGGTTGAAGAACAGCATTCATTTCTTTGTCAGTTACATTTTTTCGATAAAATGGATTAATATATTCATTTAAATGTTTTGAAATATAACCAGTGAATGAATATGTTTTTTCAGTTAATTTAAATTTTTGCCTTTCCTTTTCACAATTACCAACAAATGTACCATATTGACAACTGTTTACATGATCGTGTAATGTTAAAAGAAATACTTCATTAAATTGAAATGCATAAGGATATTGTTGAAGTAATTGATATGTGCAATCAATGAATTGAGTGAAAATTGGTGCCAATTCTTTGCTATCGCTTATTATATGACCGCAACGATCATTGAATTTATGTCCAAATGAAAGCCAATCTTTTTCAATTAAAATTTGAAAACCCTGAATACTTCGATAAAATGGATCAAGAAGTAATGCAGCTAGGGAACAAACTTGCGCTGTACGATCCCATCCATCGCTACAATGAACAACAACGCTTATTCCATTTGAGACAGCTTGTGCAATGAACCATGATGTTTCCAAAATTGATTTTATATGCTTTAACCATCCACTGCTTTCAAGGCCCGTTAAAAATGAACTCATTGATGTGCTTTTTTGTACTGTTTTAATAGAAATTAATGATAATTTTTTTTATTATTAAATGGGTAGAACTCTGGAACCTTTAACTTTTATGTCCCTTTGATATATTTTTTTTTAATTTCAAAAAGATTTTACCTAATTTTTGTTGGAGATATTAATTTTTAATACGAGTTTGGTAAAAATTTATTATTATTATTATTATTATTAATATTAATTATTTTTTCTCATTGAAAAGTTAAAAATTTCAGAGATAAGCCCATGTATTATCTAGAAAAATAAAAAAAAAAATACAAAGATGATACTTACAGTCAATTAATTTATTAAGACTCGCTCTCATAACGTGAATGTTTTCAATTCCAAAGAATTTGAATTTAATATTATCATAAAAGTTTTCGTTTTCATATCCTTTACCAGCCGCTCTATTGGCCATTGCATTTATCTACGTTAAAAAATAATAATTTGAAATCATTTTTTTTTTTTACACCAAAATCGTCTTGTAAAAATTCTTACCCTAGGTCGAGTATCCACAACATAAATGTACTTGGCATTTGTATTAGTACAAAGAATATTGTACAACATTTGTTCATCCTCTGGACAACGGGCATTGAATCCCGAAAGTGGTTGACTGCAACGACAAATTGCTGCCTACAAAAATAATATTTATAAAAAAAATTATTAAAATACTCTAAATTATAGGCAATATTTTGAAATTTTCAATTATACGTTAAATAGAAAATCAATTATTTTTTTTTTTTTAAATATTTTAAATGAACCTTATTTTTATGAAGATAAGTTAAAACTGGTAATCTTCCTTTGCTTCTAAATTTGGCGCTTCCAACTAAAACACTAGTTGTACACGTTGTTGGTACAAATAAACAACGCGGATATGTTTCACATAACTGTAAAAATAAATAAGGCACATGAATTTTCCATAAAAATCATTAATTCAAATTTTTATTTTAAATATTACATATGAGAAATAATTATTTCTTAAACGAATTTTTAATTTTTGAATTAAAATTTCAGGTTTTCTTTTTAAACGAATTTTTACATTAAATAAAATTTTTAGCCATCGAATTTTTGTTTAGCAGAATTTTTATTTTACAGTTTTTTTTCTTTACATGACTCTTTATGTACAAGCGAATTAAGCGAATTTGAATTTAACAGAATTCTAATTCGAAATTTTAAATGGCAGAAATTCACCGAATTTTAATTTGTCTGAATTTTTATTTATATACGAATTTTTAAGACGCCGAATTTTCACTTCTTCGAAATTACAAATGTCCGAACAAACAATCGACAGAAAAATTGCGCCGAAATCTTTCTCTCGATTGTTTGTTCGGACATTTGTAATTTCGAACAAATGTAAATTCAGCGTCTTAAAAATTTTATTAAATATTTGTACAAATAAAATTTCGGACAATTTAAAATTCGATGAATTGTAATTTCTGTCATTAAAAAATTCGAATCAGATAAAATTCGATTGAATGAGAATTTTGTTAAATTAAAATTCACTTAATTTAACATTCTTTTAAATAAAAAATCATGTAAAGAAAAATGACTGTAAAATAAAAATTCGATAGCTAAAAATTTTGTTATGTAAAAATTCGTATATAAAAAGAAAATCTGCTAAATTAAAATTTTTAAAATTGGTCTGAAAAAGAATTAGTTTTTAATAAATAGAAAAATTAAATTTATATTTTATGATATTAATTATAAAATAGTGTAAATGTTTATAAATACTTCGTAATTTGTATTTAAATATGAAATACTCCATTCTTCATTTGGAGCGCCTTGCCGCTGAAATTCTCGTTGTACGTTAAAAAGATTCCAACCCAATTGTTGGGCCCATGCTTCTCGATAATGAAAACAATAAAGATCCTCCATACTGGCTATTGAGATATTGAGAAAAGTTTTTTTTTACAATTAATGAAAATAAAGTTATTGTGAAACTAATTTCTTTGAATGTAAAATATGAAAAATAATATTAATAATACCTGGTGAAGATAGTTTAAGTAAAGTGAGGTAGACTTCATGACAATCGCGTTCTTTGGCAATGATAAATGTTACAACAAAAAAATTCTTGCACTTTATAAGAAGTGGTGAACCAGTTGTAGATAAAGGCAATTTTTCAACACTTGCAATATGTGTATTTAAAATCTACAAAGAAATTTATTTATTGGGACCCATATATGTTCTAAAAATCATTAGTTAGAATTTGCATTTTATGAAATTTCATTTGTCATAATTATTTTTGAGCCGAATTTTTATTTGTTCGAATTACTATTTTGCAGAATTTTCATCAAACCGATTTTCTATATTACACAATTTTTATATAACCGAAAATTCAATGCACAGAAATTTTATTTCTTCGAATTTTTATTTGTCAGAATTTTCATTTAACCGAAAAATCATTTAAAACAGAATTTCTAATTGATAAAATTTTCATTTGTCCGAAATTGCAAATTACCGAACAAACAATTGGCAGAAAGATTTCGGCGTGATTTTTAAAATCAACAAATCAAAAATTATCAATAAAATTGTGATTGGTTGATTTTAAAAATCGCGCAAAAATCGATTGTTGCTTCGGTCATTTACAATTGCGGACAAATGAAAATTTTATCAATTAGAAATTCTGTTAAATGATTTTGCAGGTTAAGTAAAAATTCTGCAGAAAAATCGGTTTTTTGGAAATTATATCAAATAATAATTCGAACAAATGAAAATTCATCTGAAAGAATAAAATGAAAATTCTATGCTATGAAATTCTACCTAATAAAAATTCTTTAAAATGCCTATTCTGTTAAATAAAAATTCGAGCAAATAAAAATTCTGACAAATAAAAAATCGAACAAATAAAAATTCTGTGAAGTGAATTTTCAGTTATAATAAAAATTGTGTAATATAGAAAATCGTTTTGATGAAAATTCTGCAAAATACTAATTTGAACAAATCAAAAATTCGGCTCTAAAATAACTATGACAAATGAAATTCCATAAAATGAAAATTCTAACTAATGATTTTTAGAACATAATCATGCGTCCCTACTTATTTAACAATATAAACGGGATAAAAAAAATTCAAAACTCCCTTTTGTTCTAAATTACTAGATAATAAATAATAATTTATTAATACTAAAAATAATAATTTACTCTTATTTTAAAATTTTTTCTGTATTGAATAAAGATTTTTTTTTAAGAATCTTAATTTGCTTCAATAAAAAAAAAAAATATAATTATAGAACAAAATTTTAATTTTAGTTAATTATATAAATTAGGTAATTTAAAAGTATAATTTAAAAATTATACTTGCCCATATTTGTTTCTTTCCATTTGAATCGACAAATATTATATGCGTTACAGTAATATATAGTGTTCCAATTGAATGATTGTTACTATATTTATCGAGCATTCGCACATTTTCCACCTATAATTTTCATATATATATATATTTATTTATGAAACAAAATTTACTAAATTACTACTAAATCCTATTGAAAAAAAGAAAAATGAAAAAAAAAATGATAATATGAGACATTCTCTGAAAAAAGCCAACCACAAGAAAAAGTTCTGCGATTACCTTGATGCTTTGGTAAATTCTTGTTCTATATGAAATTCAAAATTTGAAACCATATTCTACTATGAAAAATTTTTAAAAAAGTAATTTTTGACTATTTTATCAGTTTTTTTTTTAATTTTAAAAATTTTATTGTTTGAAAAAAATGGAAATTTTTCAAAATTAATTAATTCTTTAGAACTATGAAAAAAGCGTAAAAAAAATTAACTAATTAGGGTCAGTTGGGGTAAATGGGGACAAAATCGCTATTTTTCACAAATTACGTAAGTTTCTTCCTTTAAAAGGTAATATTTGTGGGTTTATTTTTTTTAAGTTGTTATTTACACTCCCAGGATTAATTTTATGCAGCAGAATAAAATTTAGATAAGCTTTAAATGCATGAAACTGACTGTCTCCATTTACCGCAAAATTTAGAAAATTTAATAAAATTCGGGGTAAATGGGGACAGTATAGTTTCTAAGAAAGTTTTAAGAAAAAAGTTTCCTAAAGAATATTATTGTATTAAGGGATGAAAAAACTTTTAAAAAAATTTGTGGTAGATATATAATAGTTGAATCAATTGAAATTTTTTTATTTTTTTTTTATTTCAGTATTTTGTCTCGCATTTGAAAAAAAACAGACTTAAAAATCATACCAAATTTTTTTCTTATTCCTTATGACTCCCATAACAGAAATTCACTTGAATTTTTGATTTTTGTTAATTTGATTAATAATGACAAGCTGTCCCCATTTATCCCAAAAATTTGAAAACTTAGGGTAAATGGGGACAGCTTGTCATTATTAATCAAATTGATAAAAATCAAAAAATTCAAGTGAATTTCTGTTATGGGAGTCATAAGGAATAAGAAAAAAATTTGGTATGATTTTTAAGTCTTAATTTCTTTTATCAATTAAAGGATATAATTTAAAGGACTTTTATTTTATCATAAAAGGAAATCCTCTATTAAATAAATATTAAAAGAAAAATTCGTTTATGATAAAAGAATTCGTTTAAAGTTAAATAGATTGTTTTCTCAGTATGTTATTTTCAAATTCTTATAGGGTCAGTCCACTGACTTTCGTCTAATAGTGGTTGCGACCAAATTTAAAAAAAATCTAGTTTTAATATATGTGAAACTCGATGATTTCCTGAGTTCATTAACCATATAATATTATGGAAAAAATTTTATTCCCTTTAAAAATATTAAATATCAAAAGTAGGAGGTTCACAATGTGATTTTGTAACCTTAAATTTTTCAATTTTTTTAAAAACGCTATTATTAAAAAACTATTAAAAATTAGATGTTGGAACTCACCAAAAACATAAATCACTTTATTTTGCACAGAGGAACGAAAGAATTATTGCAAAAATTTATTATTTTTGGATGATATACGATTTTAAACAAAATTCTATTTAAATATTCTCAAGATTTTTATTTACTTATAACTTTTTTGTCGGTGCTCCGAAAAAATTGAGATTTTGCACAAAGATTTTTTATAATATTCTTTACCTTCTATTAAAATCTTACGAAGGTGTTTTGTTTCGTTTTGGAGATATTAATTTTCAAAATTTTTTATTTAAAAAGATTAATTAAAAGACTTGAAGTTAACTGACCAATTTCAAATCGCTACATTTTAATATATTTTTTATAAAAAATGGAGCAGTTTGAATTTGGTTAGTTAACTTCAAGTCTTTTAATTAACATTTTTAAATAAAAAATTTCGAAAATTAATATCTCCAAAACGAAGCAAAACACCTTCGTAAGATTTTAATAGAAGGTAAAGAATATTATAAAAAATCTTTGTGCAAAACCTCAATTTTTTCGGAGCACCGACAAAAAAGTTATAAGTAAATAAAAATCTTGAGAATATTTAAATAAAATTTTGTTTAAAATCGTATATCATCCAAAAATAATAAATTTTTGCAATAATTCTTTCGTTCCTCTGTGCAAAATAAAGTGATTTATGTTTTTGGTGAGTTCCAACATCTAATTTTTAATAGTTTTTTAATAATAGCGTTTTTAAAAAAATTGAAAAATTTAAGGTTACAAAATCACATTGTGAACCTCCTACTTTTGATATTTAATATTTTTAAAGGGAATAAAATTTTTACCATAATATTATGGTTAATGAACTCAGGGAATCATCGAGTTTCACATATATTAAAACTAGATTTTTTTAAAATTTGGTCGCAACCACTATTAGACGAAAGTCAGTGGACTAACCCTATAAATCCTACAAAAACTTTATGAATTTTTAATTGTCAATAGTATTTTTCAGATAGTTTTCAATGCCAGAAAAAAATTTATCAAAAAAAAATTTTTAACCCTATGTTTTTTTTTTAAATTAACCTTTATTTTTTTATTTTTAACCCCTTCTTATGCCCCTTAAAAATTTTTGTGTTATTTTTATTTTCATAACTGGGATTTCAAGTAAAAATAACAAAAAAGAATTGTAAAGGGACATAAGGAGTTAAAAATGAAAAATAAGGGTTAATTTTGAAAAAAATAGGGTTAAAAATTTTTAATTTGGAAAACAATTTTTTGGCATCGAAAACTAGATGAAAAATTCTTTTTAAAAAAATCCCTATTGACTAATTAAAATCTAGTTTTTTTTTTAGAAATTATACGGATTTAAAAATAACAATGTTACCTAAAAACTCAAAATTTGAATCTTTTCTACTTATGTTTTTTTTTAAAATGAGTTTATATTTTAATATTTTGTTACTTTCATATATAGAATAACAATTTACCAAAATATCAAGCCAATCACAGAACTTTTTATTAACATCATAGAATTCTTTTGTTTCATCTTTCATATTAAAAATTCCATTCCTTTGTTTTATGTAAATAATTTTCAAATTACTTTCGTAAATATAATTACTAATTTCACTTTTTTTTTAAAATAGAAAATTTTCCAATTTCTCTTCAAATTATAAAAATTTAGGTTAAATAATGTTATTTTGTAAAAAAAAAAAATTTTTTTATTATCTCTCAACGTTTCGATGGTAGCAACTTTATTTTTCAATTAATATTTAATATAAAAATTATTTATAATTGCTCATTATAGAATTTAAATGTTCATATACTGTGTAAAATAATACATTAATAAATTTGTTTTAACATACCATGGAACGTGTTATTGACTCTATAGAATTATTCATAATATTAAAAAGATATTAATTCTCGCGTTCTAAAATTATAATTACTATTTGAATAATTAAGAATTTGCTTGTTTTTAATTGATTTTTGACATATGTATATGTATATATTTCACTTGACAACCCTTCATATATATGTATATATAGATATATGCATTCAGAATTTCTTTTGAGGTAAGGTTATATACACAAGGTGGGGAAACAAAGATGATGAGAAAAAAATTGACACGTGGAAATCTCTAATGGTCCGTTCATAAGATCCCTTTCAAAATTAAAGTGAAATTACACTGACTGCGAAGCGTCAAATTTTGTAACTAGACTATGAAGGTGCTTACATACCTTACCTTCTTCGTTTTCGGCGAGCGATGCATTTTTCACAGAAAAACACTGAATTTGATTGGCTATGATAAATATTCCATTTCCACCGTGAAAATGGAATATTGTTGGAAACGGAAACGAAAACGAGTTGGTTTTGCATTGTTCTCACTGGACAAAATTCCCTCTCACCTTTGTCATAATTCTTATCAACTACCGCACCCTGCTCTAGTAAAAATTTAGTGACTTTATTGTTAAAATTAAAAGTTACTATAAAGTTACTAAATTCTTACTAGAGCAGAGTGCGATAGTTGACGAAAATTATGACAAAGGTGAGATGGAATTTTGTCCAGTGGGAAGAATGCAAACCAACCAACGCAATCGTGAGAACAAGTAAAAGAAGGACGGACATATGTAACTGTCCTTCTCCAACTCATTAATTCAATCATTAATTAGATTAATCGTTATTTAACCTAATTTTCATGTGGCCTAATAGTTGTGTCTTTTTCTCTCTCATATACTTCGCATTTATTAGAGAATTATAGGTTATGTTTATGATAGTTTTATCTTATGATTAAAACTTCCTTTTTAATTATATCAAATAAAAATCAATTTTTACTTAATATTTTTGATGTAAGAAAAATTGGAACATTAATTATTTATACAGTTAAATTTCTTTTTACTCCAAACTATCATAAAAATAACCTATAACTTTGTGCTTCTTTGGTAATTGTTTTTAAGGGTACTGTCACACCTCAGCTATCTATCTAAAACGCAATTGCATAAATGCTGTCCTTCCAGTTTGACGGCATTTTGAAAAGTTAAAACACTTCTATAATAATTTTCTTAGTTCATGACTTATGGTTTAAGGTTGGTTTTCATTTTCCCCACACGCCATTTGTCATAGTTCTCGTCAACTACCGCACCCTGCTATAGTAAAAATTTAGAAACTTTATTGTTAAAATGAAAAGTTACTATAAAGTTACTAAATTTTCATTAGAGCAGGGTGCGGTAGTTGACGAGAATTATGACAAATGGCAAGTAGGGACAATGGAAACCAACCTTGAATATTAGTTAAGGTCAATTCACAATAGCTTCGCAAAAGAAATGCATGAGATAGAGAAGGATGCAACTATATCGTCATCCTTTTCTAACTCATGTTTCACGTTCGCGAATCTATTGTGCGTTGGCCTTTATACTGTACGCCACAATAAAATTACGACAATTGATTGACATTTTTGATTGGTGATTATTTTTCGAATCTTTGCAACGATTGGTTTATACCACTCGAAGTCAAATTTCCATTGTACAGAACAGAATTCAGTACCAAGAATAGAACCCCTGTAACATTTCGGAGGTTCGCCTTTAGTTAAACGCACACGCGACAAGCTTTAATATTTTCTTTTCAAAACCAATCCAACTCTGTTTGTGCTTATCTTTCTGTCACAACAAAATCTCTGTCAGCAAAGAGAAATAGAGAATATTGGCAAATTTCAGACTTCACATATAGTTAATGAGTAGAAACATAAAACTAACCTCTTCTCCATTTGAACGAAAAATTGTAAAACAACTACAAAAATTTTAAAGTTCTTAGTAAGTATATTTAAAGTTTAAATTATTTATTTTCTACAATTAATTTCAACAAAGCCATTTATAAATTAATAAATTTAACTTAAAAATTCTCCGAAATTCCTCATTTATCTAACAAGATAATTATGCTCAATTCATTTCTTTCTTTCTTTCTTTTTTTTTGACAATTTCAAGTATAAAATACATTTCTTTGATATATTTTGTCAATTATAATGAATTTTTTAAATATATAGAAAAAATTTCAAACGACCAAACATTTTTCTCCATTGGAAGGATTTTCACAAAAATAGAAAAGTAAACAATGTACAATAATTTTGAATAAAAGATGAAAATTTCTGTGTTTTCAATAAAATATTTTCTTCAATTTAGTAAATAATTTACAATAATAATAATTACAATAGTGATTAAAAAAAAAAAGTTTGCTTTCGCCGTTTGCGAATTTAAAAAGTTGTTTTGTAAACAATGTATTTTTTTTTATTCATTTTTATTGAAGTTTTCAATTGTTATTTTTAAACAATGAAAAATAATATAAATTAGGAAAAAACAAAATTGCAATTTCGATAATTTTTGCTTCAAATAAATTCCTATTTGTATTTATTAAGCGAAAAATTTTATTTTTTTAAATTTAATTATTAAAGTTATTATTTTATTGACTAAAATAAAAAAAAATTTACTGAATCATTAAACAAACAAAAAAAACGAATTAAATACATAAGAAAAATTTATTAAATTAACTTTCATTGTTGTTTTTTCTTTTTTATTTAAATAACGAAAAAAAAAATTTTTTGATTTCAGTAATGTGAAAAAAATTACATGCATCGAGGACAAAATATTGGATACTCTTTTTTTTCTGAAAGGTTCAAATAAACTTCTCAAATGCCTTCAGCAACAGGTATGAAATAATTTTTTTTTTTTCTTAGTAAATTTTATTTTTTTATTTCAAAAATAAGGGAAAACATTTTGAGCGCTTTCGTAATAATTCTACAAAAAAAAGAAAAAAAAAAGAACTACACATTATTACACTGAAACAGAAAAAAAATGTTAAATTAAAATTTTTAAATTAAAATTTATTTCTACACTGTTAAATACTACAGCAGAAAAAACTCTGTACAATTAATTTTTATACAGAAAAAAAATGATTTTTCTTTAATTTACAATTTTTTTTAAATTATAATAGGGTAAATGCACTAATTACTGCGCAATTCAAGTAAAAACACGTTTGAAATAGAAAATTCGATATTTCTATTGTATAAAGTCAATTTAAGATTTATTAAACTAAAATCTTATGTTATTTAGCTAATAAAAAAAAAATTTTTTTAACTTTATAAAAATCGATTATTTCAACAAATATGAGAAATTAAAACTAATACCATAATTTTCTATTACTGCGCGTTTATATCAATTTCGGTGTATCAATTACGGTAACAAAAATTACACCTGTATTTTGAAGATATTTTTTGCCCACCGTAATTGGAACCAATAGAAATCTTAAAAATGTTTCAATTACGGCGAGGGAAAAAAAAATTTGATCTCAAATAATTAAATTAACAGGGTGTCTACTAGTCCTGGAAGTCCTGAAAATGTCCTGGAATTTGAAAAAATGTCCTGGAATGTCCTTGAAAGTCCTGGAATTTTAATTTTTCTACTTGAATTTTTTATATTTTGCTTTTAAATTTTCAAAAATTTCTAAAAAATTCATTAAATAAGTAAAATGAAAATTTACTTAAGTAATTAATTAATTTTTTAATAATTTCTGAAAACAATAGTTAAACTAAAAAATTTTTTATTCCTTAAAGTCATCCAATTTAATGTCCTGGAAAAATAAGAAATTTTTTCCTGAAAAGTCCTGGAAAAGTCCTGGAATTTTAATTCAGATTTTTAGTAGTCACCCTGATTAACAATTCTTTAAATTTTGAATAAAAGTTTAAAAAAAAAATAATTCAACACAATTAAATTAGTATAATATTAATAACTCTTAATTGTATTGAAATAAATTACGAAGAGTAAAAATTTATTTTTAAAAATTTTACACAATATTTAAAATAGATACTAATATTAATTATAAATAATTTTAATTTTATTAAAACTATTTCTTTAGAATGAAAATTCAAAAACAATACAAAACCACATTGCAAAATGTCAAAATCTGTATAAAAAAAAAAAAAAAAAAAAAAAAAAATAACAAAAAAAGAACAAAAATATATACACAAATACGACTAACTTCAGGTGTAGACAGAATGAAAGAATACGAAGATAATAATAGAAAATAATAATAATAATAATAACTCGAGCATTGAAGTTTCTCAAAAATGTGCAGTCATTTACGATTAGAGAAAAAAATGACCCTTTTTAGAAAATTTACGAAGAACTCAAACCACATTATCAAAGTAAATTATTTTTATATTCGAGAGTTTGTATTGTTTTATTTAGAAATGAAAATCTAAATATGTAGTCAGGCCTTGGATTATACGACTTTTTTTTTTTTTTTTTTTTTTACTTTTTCTGATTTTTTTTTTGAAAATACGACTTTCTCCGACTTATTTAAATAAAATGCGACGTTTTCAACTTTTCTTTTCTTAACATTTTTTTAAATAAATTTTCAAACAAAATACATCTTTTTTTAGTAAACAATGAAGATCTTCAATTATCTTTCAATTCAATTCAATTATTTTTCAATTACAAACTTTATGAAATTCAATAATTGTTAATAATAAAAAAAAAACAAATAAAGTTTCCAAAAATTTCATTTTGAAACCTTTTAAAATTTGCCATCTAAAATTTTTTAGAAATTTAGTAATTTCAATTATAACTCTTTTGAAATTCAATTATTTTTAATGAATTTTATAATATTTTTCGAAAATTCAATTATCTGACAGCATTTTTCAATAAAATAAATAAAATAAATAAAATAAATAAAATAAATAAAATAAATAAAATAAATAAAATAAATAAAATAAATAAAATAAATAAAATAAATAAAATAAATAAAATAAATAAAATAAATAAAAAAATAAATAAAATAAATAAAATAAATAAAATAAATAAAATAAATAAAATAAATAAAATAAATAAAATAAATAAAATAAATAAATAAAATAAAATAAATAAAATAAAATAAATAAATAAAAAAAAATCTTGTAGAATTTAATTATTTCTAAATTTTTTAAAATATAAAACTTTCTGAAATTTAATTATTTCAAAAAATTTTAATTTTATAAATCTAAAATTCAATTCTTTGAAAATTATGTTATCTTAAAATAATTGCAGGCCTCGGATAATACGACTTTTTTTGACTTATTTAAATAAGATTCTACTTTTTCGAGGTTTTTTTTACATTTTTTTTTTCTTACTAAAGTTTTAATCAAAATACATATTTTTTTAGTATACAATGTAGAGTTTCTTCAAAAAAAAAAAAAAAAAAATCACTATAAAATCGGAAATTAGAAGTTTGCAAAATTTTAACAGAAGGAAAATTCTTCTTTTTCGTTTTTTTTTTTTTCTTAGGCGTGGGTCAACAGAAGGGTGGGCCTAATATGCCCAACAATGAGGAATGTGGAATACGAGATGTATGGGGACACAATCTAGAAGAAGAGTTTCGAGCGATACGTCAAGTAGTACAACAATATCAGTATATAGCAATGGACACAGAATTTCCAGGAGTTGTCGCAAGACCGATTGGTAATTAATAATAATAATAATAATTTTTGATTCAACACATTTTTTTTACATCTTTATTATTTTTCCATTTTTTTTTAAATTTCTGGCATTTAAAAATTTGAATTATTTAAAATTCTCTTGAATGAGAATTCTGATAAATTATAATTTTTTTTTTTTTTAAATAAAATGTTGGGTCAAGAATAATTCTGTAAAGTAAAAATTCGGTATTAAAAAAATCGGGTTTAATAATTTTTTTTCGTCAAAACGAAAAATAAAACACATCTAAAATTATTACGGTAAATAATATATTTTCATATAGGAAAAAATAATTTAAATGTTTGTCTACATTGAAATGGAATTGCAATCGAAAATTTAATGCATTTGTACATATTGAATGGATTAAAAAAAAAAAAAAAAAAATTTGAATTGATACAAGAAAGAAAAAAGTGTAAAAAGAAAAAGAAAAATTTAAAAATACTGTAAATAATTTTAGGTGAATTTAGGACGAGTGCAGACTATCAATATCAACTTTTACGTTGTAATGTAGACTTACTGAGGATTATACAACTTGGTCTCACATTTTTAGATGAGACAGGTAACACACCAGGCGGTAGTTACACAACGTGGCAGTTCAACTTTAAATTCAATCTTCAGTAAGTTTTTTTCTTTTCTTTGTCTTCAAAAATTTGTTAATATTTTTAATTTTCATCTAGTATTTTTTTTTTAAAAAAAGATTTTAAGAATCTTATTCTGTAGAATATTAATTTTGCGCATAATATTTATTTGTTCGAATATTAATGTTTTTAGAAAATGCATCGAAAATCAATTTGACAAAATTTCCATTTAGTCGAAATTTAGTTAGAAATTTAATTTAATCGAATCTCAATTTGATGGAAACTTTGCCTTGTAGAAACATTTGTCAGAATTGTAATTTAAAAGAATTTTAATTTTGCAAAAAAGAGGATTAGAATGAATATTAATTTTGCAAGAATATTCATTTGCTCGAATATTAATGTTCAGAAAATTAAAATAATCGAATATCAATTTGCCAAAAATAATTCAACGGAAATTTCAAATTTGATCAATCAGAAATTATCAAGAAAATTGTCAAATTTGAAGTTTCCGTCGAATTATTTCTGGCAAATTGATATTCAATTATTTTAATTTCGCTGAATATTAATATTCGAGTAAATAAATATTCTAAAAAATTAATATTCTTTCTTAATCCTCTTTCTGCAAAATTAAAATTCTTTTAAATTACAATTCTGCCAAATTAATATTAATTTAAAAAAAAGAAAAATTAATTAAAAATTAATAAGACAAAGTTTCCATTAAATTGAGATTCAATCAAATTAAATTTCTAACTAAATTTCGACTAAATAAAAATTTTGTCAAATATTGATTTTCGATCATTTGCATTTTCTAAAAACATTAATATTCGAACAAATAAATATTCTGCAAAATTAATATTCTACAGAATAAGATTCTATATCAAATCATAAGGGGCGGTTCAAGTTCTACACATTTAGATTCTACACCGTATAAATTCTACACGTTAAATTGCACACCGACAAACTCTACACACATTCATATTTAAAAATAAAAATTAATTCGTTAAATTCCACACAGTTAAATTGTACACCTTCAAAGTCGACACACGTTTATATTTAATAATAAAAATAATTTTGTTAAATTCTACACAGTTAAATTGAACACCGTTAAACTATGCACAAATTTTTTTAAAAAAATGATAATTATTACTATAAAATTCTATACAGTTAAATTCTACAAAATAAATTTCTTCGCAGTTTATTAGTTGTGTTAAATTCTGCACTGTTAAATTCTACACACGTTTATATAATAAAAAATATTAATTTTGTTAAATTCTGCACAGTTAAATTGAACACCGTTAAATTCTGCACAAATTTATTTTAAAAAATGAAAATTATTACTGTAAAATTCTACACAGTTTAATTTGAAAGAAATTAAAAAGTAATTCTATAAATTTTGTAAAAAAAATTAGCTTTACGTTAATAATTAAACGCAAATGTATATCAAAAAATAATATTCGGGTAATGTTATATTAAATTAGTTAGCTTAATTAAAAAATAATTTTATCAATAATTTAACTGTATAGACTTGAAAATAATCAAATTTTTCTAATAAAAAAAATGTGTAGAGTTTAGCGGTTTAAATTTGAATGTGTAGAATTTTACAATAATAATTCCCATTTTTTTAAAATAAATTTGTGTAGAATTTAACAGTGTGCAATTTAATTCTGTGGAATTTATTAAAATTATTTTTATATTTAAATAATAAACGTGTGTAGAGTTTAACGGTATGCAATTTAATTGTGTAGAATTAAAAAAAAAATTTTTAATTATCCAACAACTAATTAGTGTAGAATTTAACGATGTTCAATTTAACTGTGTAGAATTTAACAAAATTAATTTTTTTTTATTATATAAACGTGTGTAGAGTTTAATAGTGCAGAATTTAACAAAATTTATAAATTTATTTTGTAGAATTTAACTGTGTAGAATTTTACAGTAATAATTTTCATTTTTTAAAATAAATTTGTGTAGAATTTAACAAAATTAATATTTTTTATTATACAAACGTGTGTAGAATTTAACAGTGCAGAATTTAACACAACTAATAAACTGCGAAGAAATTTATTTTGTAGAATTTAACTGTGTAGAATTTTATAGTAATAATTATCATTTTTTTAAACAAATTTGTGCATAGTTTAACGGTGTTCAATTTAACTGTGTAGAATTTAACAAAATTATTTTTATTTTTAAATATAAACGTGTGTCGACTTTAACGGTGTACAATTTAACTGTGTGGAATTTAACGAATTAATTTTTATTTTTAAATATATGAATGTGTGTAGAGTTTGTCGGTGTGCAATTTAACTGTGTAGAATTTAACAAATAAATTGTGCAAAATTGAACTTGTGTAGAATACAACATTGTACAATTTAACGTGTAGAATTTATACGGTGTAGAATCTAAATGTGTAGAACTTGAACCGCTCCAAATCATAATTATAAAAAAAAAATTTTTAGAGCTTATTCATACGTCCCAAAAATGTTATTTTTAGCATTTTTTTTTCGAGAAGTATGTTTTTTTTTAAAGTATTATTATTATTATTTCAGAGAGGATATGTATGCACAAGATAGTATAGATATGTTGCAAAACAGCGGTATACAATTTAAAAAACACGAAGAAGAAGGAATCGATCCTTTAGATTTTGCGGAACTTTTAATGACATCTGGTATTGTTCTAATGGATGACATTAAATGGCTATCGTTTCATTCTGGCTATGATTTTGGATATCTTTTGAAACTTCTTACTGATCAAAATTTACCACAAGAAGAAAGTGAATTCTTCGATTTACTTAGGATATACTTTCCAACAATTTATGATGTTAAAGTGAGAAAATTAACAATTTCTCTCTAAATTTTCTTTTTTTTTCATATTTATATAATGATTTATTATTATTATAAAAAAAAATTAAATTAATTTTCATTTTGTGTAGGTATATAGGTATATATTATTAATTACATATTTATTATTATATATTTATTATTTTATATTTATTGTTTTCTATTTTATAAAAAATATTTATTATTATTATTATTCGTTAAAAAATTGTTTTAAAATTATCTTCTTTTTTTCTTTTTTGCTTTACAGTACCTCATGAAATCTTGTAAAAATTTAAAAGGTGGACTACAAGAAGTGGCGGAACAGTTGGAACTTCAAAGAGTTGGTCCACAGCATCAAGCAGGTTCCGATTCTTTATTGACGGGCATGGTATTTTTTAAGATGCGTGAGGTATGTTTTTATCTCATCGAATTATTATAAACTATAAAATTATTTTTCTTATTTTTCCACACACAATATAATACAGGAAAAATATAATTTTTGTTTTTATTTATTTTCATTTAAAAAAAAAAATACATATTTAAAAACTTAATATTGAAGTAAATTTCGTAACATTAAAATTTAGATAAATTCAAAATTATTATTATTTTTTTAATTTTATAATTATAGCGGTATAATATGATAATTTTAATAGATATACAATTCAATTATTTATATTTTTTTTCCCATTAAAATTCTTGGAAAATTTAAGTTTTTTTTTTTAAATTATTGCACGTATTAAAAATTAATATCTCTAACAATAGGTAAAATCTTTTTGAAATTAAAAAAATATATATTAGAGGGATATAAAAATTAAAGGTTTTAGAGATATGACCACATATATAATGAATAGATAATATTAAATAAAAAAAAATTTATTTTAGATGTTCTTTGAGGACAATATCGACGATGCAAAATACTGCGGTCACTTGTACGGATTGGGGACGTCGTTTGTCGTAAATGGTTCTGGCGGCTATCTCGAGAGCAACGGGGAAAATACATCGTCCTCGTAATTATTGAGGAGCATTACATCACATCACACACACACACATACACATCCCCCAAACATACACGCGACACAGTACTAGCGAATAATGAAAAAAAAAAAAAAACAACAAAAATGTGTTCGCTCCGCTCAATTCTGGATTTTCGGGACAATTTTCAGTGAACGAAGCGAACCACGAACAATTTTCGATGCATTTTCTTATTTTCATTTTTTTTTTTTTGTTCTTTTCTTTTTGTAAAAGAAAAAAATATAAATATATATAAATATATTTTAATTTGTGCATCACACACACATACACACACACAATAGTTTTGTGGTTTATGCGTACTAATGACAGAGTTTATACAAGTGTACGCATGTCAAATGTGAAAGAAGGAGAGATACAGAGACATTAAAAATAAATAATTAAAAAAAAAAAAAAAGGAAAAACAAAAATTGTAGAATACATGTAATCTTGTAATAAATTGTGACAATATAAGTATTCAAGTTAATAAAATGCGTCATTTTTTTTTTTATTTTAATTATTTACAGACCTCGAATTTTATCAAGTTTTTGACTTTTTTTTTCGGACGCATGATTATGTTTTAAAAAAATCATTAGTTAGAATTTTCATTTTATGAAATTTGTCATAATTATTTTTGAGGCGAATTTTTTTTATTTGTTTGAATTAGTATTTTGTAGAATTTTCATTAAAACGAATTTCTATATTACAAAAATTTTTAATATAACCGAAAATTAATTATTTTCTATAATTTAAATAAAATTCTTCAAAAATTTAATTATCTGATAATATTTTTCATTTTTGAAAATTCAATAATTTTTTGAAATTTCTAAAAAAAAAATTAATTTTCAGCACATAAAATTACTAAAATTTTCCATTAATCTCATCTTATTAATTTAATAATTTCTAAATAATTTCCATCATGTTTTTCAAATAACCAATTATTACAAATATTTTTTTAATTTAAAATTCTGTAAAATTATTCACAGAAATTAAAAAAAATTTTGAATTAAAATTTTCAAACCTTTTTTTTTGAAATTTAATGACCTACTTCTAAAAATTTTAATTTTAAATCTTTTGTACAATTTAATTATTTCTAAATTTTTTAAAATATAAAACTTTCTGAAATTAATTATTTCAAAAAATTTTAATTTTATAAATCATCTAAAATTCAATTCTTTGAAAATTATGTTGTCTTAAAATAATTTCAAGCCTCGGATAATACGACTTTTTTTTTGACTTATTTAAATAAGATTCTAATTTTTCGAGTTTTTTTTTACATTTTTTTTTACATTTTTTTTTTACTAAATTTTTAATCAAAATACGTATTTTTTTAGTATACAATGTAGAGTTTATTCAAATCTTTTTTATTTCAATTATTTAACAAAATTTTAACTAAAATTTTCTCTAAATTAATTATTATTTTTAATAATTGAAATTCTTCACAAATTCAATTATCTTCAATTATTTTTCAATTACAAATTTTTTGTGAAATTCAACAATTGTTTACAGTTTTAAAAAAAATCAAATAAAATTACCAAAAATTTCAATTTAAAACCTTTTAAAATTTAATTATTTTTAAAATTTTTCTATCTGAAACTTTTTTGAAATTTAATAATTTTAATTAAATTTCTTCCGAAATTCAATTATTTTTAATGATTTTTATAATATTCTACGAAAATTCAAGTAGTTGAAAGCATTTTTCAATTAAAAAAATTTTAAAGTTCAATTTTTGTCTTTAATTTTTAATCAAATTCTTCATCAACAAAAATCACCAAAAAAATTTCAATTCAAAATCTTTTGAATTCAATTATTTTCAAAAATTTCAATTTAAAACCTTCTAAAATTTAATTATTTCCCAAAAAATTTCAACTGTAACTCTTCCAAAATTTATTGATTTTAAATGATTTTTATAGTATTCTTCAAAAATTAAATTATTTGAAAGAATTTTTAATTTAAAAAATTTTGAAATTCAATTTTTGTCTGTAATTTCTAATAAATTCTTCATCACCAAAAATTTCAATTAAAAATCACTTGAAGATCATTTAATTTCAAAAGTATGAATTTTAAATATTGGAAAATTCGCAATTATTTTTAAAAATGTTATCTACAATATTATATTTTTGATAAATTATTTTCAATTCTGTAAAATTTAATTATTGTCTGAAATTTGACAAAATCTTTTGAAATTTAATTATTTCTGAAAAATTGCAAACTATAAACTCTTCGAAAGTTTAATTATTTGTAATAATTTAAAATATTTCTCTAAAAATTCAATTATTTAAACAAAATTTCAAATAAAAACTCTAAAATTGAACTGTTAGAATTTTTTTTTTTTAATTAAGAAATTAATAAAATCGATTTAATATCTAATAACATTAATTATTGAAAGTAAAATATTTATTAACTAATTAGCATTTATTAAAAAAATTTTAAATTCAATTTTTATCTTTAATTTTTAATCAAATTCTTCAGCAACAGAAATCATCAAAAAAATTTCAATTCAAAATCACTTGAATTCTATTGTTTTAAAAAATTTCAGTTTTAAAACTTTCTGAAATTTAATAATTGTAAATGATTTTTATAATATTCTTCAAAAATTCAATTATTTTGAATTTTAACGAAGCTGAAGTACGTAACGTTTATGATAAACAATTTTTTAAGAAATAATTTTTTAAAATAAAAATTTTAAAATTTTTTGCCTAAAAAATATTTTTTTTATAATTTGTTTCATTAATGAAGACTTCAAGAAATATTTTTTAGGCAAACAATTATAGAATTTTTCATTTTAAAAATTTTTTTCTTTAAAAATTGTTTATCATAAACGTTGCGTACTTCAGCTTCGTAAATTTTTCAATTAAAAACTTTTGAATTCATTAAATTTGCATAAAATTAGTTACTTGCGAGTTTTTTTTTTTATTGAATAGAAATTCGAAGACAAATTTTGAAAATGTAACTAAAAAATAAAAAAGAATTAATTAAAATTTACAATAATTTAATTTTAAATATTTTTTTTTTTAAATCAACATTATTGACGAAAAAATGCCAAATACAAATATTGAAACTGCGATTTAAAAACAAAAAAAACAAAATTCTCTAAGTTGTACGAAAATTTTGTTTATCTCAAAATTTTTTATTTAAAAATTCTCTTTGAATTTTAATTTAAAATTATTTTTAAAAAATATTTTATATAATTAAAAAATTGAAAATTGAAAAAAATGATCTAATCTTCATCAGATCTTCTTTATTTCAATTATTTAATAAATTTTTAACTAAAATTTTAAAAAATCAGCAAAGAAAATTGAATTTAATTAATTTTAATTTTTCCAATTAAAAACTTGAAATTAAATATTTTTGACTATAATTTCTAATATAAATTCTTTATCATCAGAAATCAACAAAAATTTCAATTAACAAACAATTGAAGTTTAATTATTTTTAAAAATGATTATCTCAAATTATTTAATAAATTATTTACAATTTTATGAAATTTAACAAAAATCACTTTCTAATTCAAATTATTTTTAATAATTTCAACTGTAACTTATCCAAAAATCAATTATTTTTCAAATATTCTTCAAAAATTCAATTATCTATTTGAAAGCATTTTTCAATTAAAATTTTGAAATTTACAATTTTATGAAATTTAACAAAAATCACTTTCTAATTCAATTATTTTTAATAATTTCAACTGTAACTTATTCAAAAATCAATTATTTTTCAAATATTCTTCAAAAATTCAATTATCTATTTGAAAGCATTTTTCAATTAAAATTTTGAAATTCAATTTTTGTCTAATAATTTCTAATAAATTTTTCATCACTAAAAATTTTAATTAAAAATCACTTGAAGTTTAATTAATTTCAAAAATCTTAATTGTAAGTCTGAAAATTTAATTACTTTTAAAAAATGTTTTCTAAAATCAAAAAAAAAAAAAAATGAATTATTTAATCTAATCACATTAATTATTTAAAGTAAAATACTTATTAATTAAAAAAATTTAATTTTAAAAAATCGACTTTTTTTGGAATGTAAATCGATTAAAACGACTTTTTTTTTGTTAATAATTGATCAATTATTGTCAATCAAATAATTTTCATCAAATTTTTCAAAAGTTAATCATAATTTATTTATTTTTTTTTTTTTGAAATAATTTTGTCATGAAAAAATCTTTTTTGATCATAATGAAATAATTTAGTTTTTTTTTTTTTTTTATTAATTTTTACATTAAAAATTTTTTTTATAATGAAATTATTATTACGTAGTATCTTATATATTCAACTAATTTTTGAATTAAATGAACGATAGTATAAAAAAAATTACTAAATTTCTTCCCGGGGAAAAAATGAGAAATAAATATAAAAAAATTTTTTTTTTTCTTTTGTTGTCCTTGAGAAAATGTAAAAGTAGGAAAAAAAGGGTCTTTGGTACATAATCATCGTGTGTAAAACTCTTCGTGTATATTCATGTACCTGTTGGAGTATAAACGATAAAGATAAGCACACCTTATCTATTTGGGGAGTCGATGATATCAGATACAGTTATCATTCTCTATTGCCAGAAATCTCATTTCAGTTTCTCTCTAGAAATCATACTTTGATAGTGTATTTTATTTAAAAAAAAAAAAAAAGTTTCAAATTTTTTTTTTTCAGTTAATTAAATAACAAAACAAAAAAACACAAAAATGAAAATTCGACAATTACAAAAACTTTGTGGCGCGAAAATTGTTTTGACATTTTTTCTTTTAGTGATTAATATTCTTCAAACTTCAGGACAAAGTGATGCTTTTGAAGAACATTTTCATCTTTCATCTGAAAATCAAGAACCATTCAGAATAAATCATGCTAAAGAGGTAATAATAAATAATAATTATAACTTTTTCACAATTTTACCATTTAAAAATTTAATTTTTGAACAAAAATTTTTAATTATTTTTAATTAAAAAAATTAAACATTAATTTAGTTAGTTTTATTGGAAAAAAGTAATTCCAGTCTTGTAATTTATTCAATTTTTTTTTATTATTTTATTTATAATTATTTAAACCTTTTTTTTATTGAAAATTTTTTGTAATATTTTAATTTAGTTATTTAAATACAATAAATAATAATAATAATAATACAATAACTAAATATTATAAATAATATAATAAATATAATAGATAAATTTTCGTGACGATTAATTTTTGGGAGAGTAAAAAATAAAATAAACAAATTTTTGTAGTTAAAAATCAAAATTTTTAATAATTTTTTTTTATGATTCTGACCAACAAAGGAGATTTTTATTTTTCGTAACCAAAAAAATTAAAATATCAATTTTCCAAATATTATTTTTAAAAATGTAATTTATGAAATTTTTTTTAAAAATAAATTTAAAAAATAAAAAAAAATAAAATAAATACTACTGTACCAAAAATAGATATTTTTATTTTTGTAATTAAATTTTTCTCAGGTATCTAAAGCCGAAACAAATAATGAATCAGTGCCATTGGAATTGCATGATTTAACAAAAGATGATGATGATATTTTGTTGAAAAAAGAAATTGTTTCGGAAAATTCATCATCGGAAACAATAATTGATAATCTCAATGAATCGCATAAAAATTCGAATAATTTTGAAAATGAAGAAGAAGAAATTTCAAATCCTGAAATTTCTGAACGTATGAATGGTGAAACCAAAGGGAAATACGTGAGATACGGTAAGCGATATCTTTATCTTGGGTGTGACAATTTTGTTAACAATAATACTGATATCATCATTACCTACATTTGTAATATATATAAAAATTAATTTTGACTCAAAAAAAGTTCAAATTGATGACAATAGAATAAAAATATTTTTGAAAAAAATTACATATTTCTCTTTTTTTTTTATTGCTAAATTTTAATTAAATTTTTTATTAAAATATAATAATTTATAAATAATATAAAAAAATAAAAATTAATTAATTAAATGTTTAAATAAATTTAAAAAAAAATACAAATAATTAATAATAATATAATAAATAAATAATTTAATAAATTTACAGTTTAAATAAATTTAAATCAATTGAAATTATGTAAATTGGATTTAATGCAATTCACAAACTTTAGATTATTCATTTTTTTTATTAAAATACATTTTAATAACTTTCAAAGTGTTAAAAATTTTTTTTTTTTTTTTATTTATTTATAATAATTCATGAATTTGAAATTTTCAAAAATTATGATGAAAAAAAAAATTGTAGGTATGTAGGAAATTTTTTTTATACACAAAATAAAATGTGCATTCATTATCTCTTTTTATCATTTCCTCTTTTACACATGAGTCGTAGATGAATCATTCTTTAAACTAATCATTTTGTAATAAAATGAATCACATACTATGAAAATTTTTTAAAATTCCTGTGTTAAAAATAAGTTTAAATAAAAATACAATCAATGCTTCACTAATAAATAAATAAATAAAAGTTAATAATTATTAATATTTTCGATGAATAGAATGCCAGATTTTTCGATCTACTTTAATAACGCTATTTTTTTAAATCAATTTTTCACAAAAAAAATATGAAAATAAAATTTAGGACTAATTTTTTAAATTCAAATTCAAATTTTTTAAATTAATAATTGAATTTTGAATGACTTACAGAATTGAAATTTTTAAAAATAATTGAATTAGAAAGAGATTTTGTTAAATTTCAGAAAATAATTAAATTTGAAATTAAAAATAAAAATTATTAAAAAAAAAAAATTGAAAATAATTTATCAAATAATTTGAAATAATCATTTTTTAAAAATAATTGAACTTTAATTGATTTGTAATTGAAACTTTTGTTAATTTTTGTTGATAAAGAATTTATGAGAAATTATGGACAAAAATTAAATTTCAAAATTTTAATTCAAAAATGCTTTCAAATAGATAATTGAATTTTTGAAGAATATTTGAAAAATAATTGATTTTTGGATAAGTTACAGTTGAAATTATTAAAAATAATTGAATTAGAAAGTGATTTTTGTTAAATTTCATAAAATTGTAAATAATTTATTAAATAATTTGAGATAATCATTTTTAAAAATAATTAAACTTCAATTGTTTGTTAATTTCTGATGATAAAGAATTTATATTAGAAATTATAGTCAAAAATTTAAATTCAAGTTTTTAATTGAAAAATTAAAATTAATTAAATTCAATTTTCTTTGCTGATTTTTTAAAATTTTAGTTAAAAATTTATAAAATAATTGAAATAAAGAAGATCTGATGAAGATCAGATCATTTTTTTTCAATTTTCAATTTTTTAATTATATAAAATATTTTTTAAAAATAATTTTAAATTAAAATTCAAAGAATTTTTAAATAAAAAATTTTGAGATAAACAAAATTTTCGTACAACTTAGAGAATTTCGTTTTTTTATTTTTAAATCTCAGTTTCAATATTTGTATTTGGCATTTTTTCGTCAAATGTTGATTTAAAAAAAAAAAAATATTTCAAATTAAATTATTGTAAATTTTAATTAATTCTTTTTTATTTTTTAGTTACATTTTCAAAATTTGACTTCGAATTTCTATTCAATAAAAAAAATTTGCAAGTAACTAAATTTATGCAAATTTAATGAATTGAAAATTTTCTTTTGTCGACATTTTGAATCCGCCATTTTGAATTTTGGTAATCTAACTTAAGATTCGTGTTCAGTGACCAAAAAAAATACTAGAGTTGTGAAATTTAAATGAATTGATTGAGTTTTAAATTTTGTATTCCGCCATATTGGAACCACCATTTTGAATTTTGAGAATCTAGGTTAGGATTCGAATTCAGCGACAAAAAAAATAACAGAATTACAAGATTAAGATAAATTGAATTAGTCTAAAATTTCTTGAACCAATATATTGGTATTAATTTTTTTTTATAAAATAAAATAAATTAATTATTTAAATTTAAAATTTAATAAAAAAAAAACATTTTTCTTCAGATTCTGATGCTCATGATGCCGAAAGATATTCACCAGATAATGATATAGGACCCGCCATCTACGAATTAACAGAACAAAGATTACGTACAATTCGTTCGAAATTTATGTATTGGTACTTTGACAAAGGTGGAGATAGAGATAGAGGAGATTATCAAACAGATATACACAATTCAATGCCTCAAATTCATAAAAATTTTAATTTTCAATTACCCTTCTTTGGTTTTCGTTTCAATTATACAAGGGTGAGAAAAATAATTTTTTTTCTTTTTTTGATACAAAATTCAAAATGTTCTTTTTTTTCCAAAAAAAAAGCTTAACAGAGGTGCAGAAATTTTCCATAAAAATCAATGGTTAGAATTTATAATTTAAAAAATTTTATTATAATTATTTTTTAGACAAATTAAAAATTTTTTGAATTAATATTTGAGGAAATTTCTTTTTTAAACGAATTTTTACTCAAGAAAATTTTTAAATAACGAATTGTTTTCCTTTTATTTATTTTTATTTGAATATTTACCATTTTTTTTTTTAAATTTAAAAATTCTAATTTAACCGAATATTAATTTAACAGAATATTAAGTAATTCGAATTTTTAAATAGCAGAATTTTTAATTCACCAAATCTTCATTTGTCCTAATTTTTATTTGCATGAATTTTCATTTTGATAGAATTTTTGAAACGCCGAATTTTCATTTGTCCAAAAAAACAATCGACGCAGGAAAATTTGTGCGCGAATTTAAAAATTAATCAATCACAATTTTCATGATAATTTCTAATATTGATTAATTTTAAAATTGGCGCCAAAATCTTTGTCGATTTTTTTCGGTCATTTGCAATTTCGGACAAATTGGAAGTTCGACGTTTCAAGAATTCTATTAAAATAAAAATTCGTGTTTATAAAATTTTTACAAATGAAAATTCTAATCATTGATTTTTATGGAAATTATTATTATTATTATTTATTAATTAGTTAAGTAATTTAATATTATTTTATTAATTTTTAATTAATAAATTAATTATAAGTACTAATAAAATATTCTTTGAATAATAAAGGTATCAATGCATGGTTATCTTGAATTCAGCGATCCACCGGAACATTATACATATCCTTTGGTCTTTCCAAATAAGGATTGGCCAAAAAAGAATGATCCTGGTTTTATTGGAATATTTTTCAGTAAATGTCGAATTGGTAAATTAAGACCAACTGACATTGATCAACGAAAATCTGGAGTTTATTTCAGGTCAGTGGTAATAATTATTATTATTCATCAAGAAAATTTTATCGCGTTTCAAATTTGAGGTTAGATTTAAAAAAAAATTCAAAATGGCGGTCCCAATATGGCAGAAAATTTTTAAATTGATTCGATTCGTTGAAAATTCGGTACTCGGGGGGATTTTGGGATCGCTGAATATAAATTTGAGGTAAAATTGAAAAAATTCAAAATGGCGGATCTAATATGGCGTGCCAATTTGGCAGAACATTTTAAAATTGATTTGATTCGTTCAAAATTTGGTACTAGGGGGTTTTTCGGGTCACTGAATCCAAATTTGAGGTCAGTTTTAAGAAATTCAAAATGGCTGACCAAATATGGCGAAAAAAATTAAAAATTGATTCGATTCGTTCAAAATTCAGTACTAGGGGATTTTTGGGGTCGCTGAATATAAATTTGAGGTCAGATTTAACAAATTTAAAATTTGGAATCATAGACCTCAAATAACACCGAGTACCAAATTTTGAACGAATCAAATCAATTTTAAAATGTTCTGCCATATTGGCACGCTATATTAAATCCGCCATTTTGAATTTTTTCAATTTTACCTCAAATTTATATTCAGCGATCCCAAAATCCCCCGAGTATCGAATTTTCAACGAATCGAATCAATTTTTAATTTTTTCCGCCATATTGGGTCCGCCATTTTGAATTTCTTAAAACTGACCTCAAATTTGGATTCAGCGACCCGAAAAACCCCCTAGTACCGAATTTTGAACGAATCGAATCAATTTTTAATTTTTTCGCCATATTGGGTCCGCCATTTTGTATTTCTTAAAACTGACCTCAAATTTGGATTCAGCGACCCCAAAAACCCAAAAAAAACCATTTTCATGCAAATCTGTTGAATTTTTCCATCATATTGGGTCCGCCATTTTGAATTTTGTAAATCTGACATCAAATTTGTATTCAACGCCCTCAAAAACTTTAGTATACCCATTGACGGAATTAAATTTTTTTTTTGTTGCAAATTTTACCTAACAAAATTGTTTCTACTTTATCTTATAATTTTCTTTTTTTTTTTTTTTGAAAATACAGAATGGAAAGGGATCTACAAGCAAGAAAGGATCAATTTGGAAAGGAAATGTATGAAAGAGTAAAATGGGATATTAGAGAGGGAGTTGTTGGAGCTGAAACATTTGATCCAAAACATTCAGTAATAATAACATGGAAAAATATGTCATTCTCCGGTGGAATAGATAATTCACTTTATCGAACAAATACATTTCAAATGGTTTTAGCAACCGATGAAGTATTTACTTATGCTATTTTTAATTATTTGGAATTACAATGGTCGAGTCACACGGAAGCAGGTGGTGATACTACTAATGGAGAAGGAGGAGTACCTGCATTTGTAAGAGAAGAAAATTTAAATTAAAAAAATAATAAATACTAATAAATATATATATATATTCAATTCAATTATATCAAACAGATTGGCTTCAATGCTGGTAATGGAACACAAAGTTACGAATATAAACCATATTCCCAAGCGTCAACATTGCGTGACTTAATTGGTAGAGGATGGGGAAATGGATTTCCAGGTCGACATATTTTTAGAATTGATGAAAAAATTATGCTCGGTACTTGTAACAAGGATATTGGTGAGTATTTTAAATAGATGATCTTATCTTATCTTCTTATTTCCATTATTTTGAAACAGGAATTTTATTTATTTAAGAATTTATAATCTAGTTCCAAACGACACGCGGATCATAATTAGTTATATCTAACCAAAGATTTTGTCGACAAAGAATATAATTAAAAATTCTTAAATTTGTTGGATTCTATAAGTCTCCGAATTATGGCTAATTCCATATTTAAAAAATTAGCGAAACCTAATGTAATTATATATTCTTTTCAGATGGAGCTAATTTACCACTTGTCTTTGCGCCAGAAAGTGGAAATATGCTTGGTGGAACAGTTATTAATATAACGGGTCCTTGCTTTGAACCAGATGATAAAGTTAGATGTCGTTTCGATACTGAAGTTGTTGTTGGCACCGTTGTCGATAGAAATCGTGCAATTTGTGTTCAACCATTTGTTAAAGCTCAGGGATATATTCGTTTTTCAATTTCTATTGGTAGTGGAAAATATGATTGGAAGGGACAATATTTTGTTGGTAAGTTTCAATCTCTCTGAGAATTGAATTAATCCAAAACGAATATCCAGAAAATTAATGATCTCCAATAAATCTATCAATTTTACATGTACTTTATTATAGAAACTCCTGCGACTGCAACGGAAAAAATATTTTTCTCAACAAATGCAGTTCATGAACGTGATCCTACGGAAATTAAAATTACCTGGAGTGCACAGAATTTAACAACTAATCTTGATGCTCGTGTACAAATATCTCTTTGGGGATATCGTGAAACTTCCATTACACCCGAATTACAATACATTGACATTATACAGGTATTTCGTGTTATAGATTTTCTTATGAAATATCTAAAAACCTATTATACTAACAGCTAAAAAAATTTATCAAAAAATTATTTTTCAGGATATGGCAGCAAATAGTGGTAATTATATAATAATACCCTCTAATTATCGTAGACGAAACAATTTTATGCAACAAGACATGTACTTTGGATTCCTTCAAATTAATCTCACTGATCCCAGAGAACATTTTGGAATATCAATTACCCCGTAAGTTTACTGAATTAAAATTTTTCTGAAACATAATATTAATATCAAATATGAAAACTATGAATTTTTAAATGAAAATTACATTTCCAGAGTTTTATGGAGTAAACCAATACCTCTAGGATGGTATTTTAGTCCTCAGTATGCAAGCGTACATGGAAATAAATGGCCACAAAAATTGTGTGACAAATGGATAATGCATGATCGTTATTTAAAAAATTTTGCTGCTGAAATATCACTTTGTCCTTGTACATTGGAACAGGCATTGTATGATAAAGGACGATTTATGCCCGATTTTGATTGTGACAAGGATTCAAATCCAGATTGTTTTTACAATAAAGGTGCAATACATTGCGTCAAAACTGGAGTACCAAAGTAAGTTATAAAAGAAGAAGAAATAAATTTAAATTTAATTTCCATTAAATATTTCATTTTTTTTTTTTGCAGTGTTGACGGTTCAGAACAACAATGCTGTTATGATAAAGCACATTACTTAATGTTATCCTATGATCAACAATGGGGATCAAGACCACATAGATCACATAATCTTGGTTATATACCATGGAATGAAGCCAATAAAGTTCCAACTCTTAGTAATTGGTTTCATGATATGATACCAATGTATCATTGTTGTCTATGGCAGGAAGAACAAGCTGTAGGTTGTGAGACACTTAGATTTGAAAGGCGTCCATCTCAGGATTGTGTTGCTTATCAAGCACCAGCAGTGGCTGCAGTTTTTGGTGATCCTCATATCACAACATTTGATGGTTTAGAATATACATTCAATGGAAAAGGTGAATTTGTTTTGGTACGAGTTAATCATCAAAAGGATAAATTAGATGTGCAGGGACGTTTTGAACAATTGCCGATTAATTTCTATGGTGAAGTGAGAGCAACACAACTTACTGCCATTGTGGGTAAGTATATATGATTCTGAAAATATCCAAGCATATATAAATCAATTCTAATTGGAGGTTTTCGATTTGTCAATGTTTGGTGGATTCTGTGGTAAAAATTTTTGACTGTTTCTAGATTAATTTGGAATTAGTCTGAAAAGGAGGTCAATTACGTAACTTTTTCTGCATCTCACATTCCGTATTCCACATTACGGATTCCACTTTTAAAATTCCGTATTTCAGATTCCGGATTCCACTTTCAAAATTCCGTAATCCACATTCCGTATCCCACTTTCAAAACTCCGAATTCTAGATTCTGGATTCCACTTTCAAAACTCGGTATTTCAAATTCCGTATTCCGGGTTCCACATTCTGGATCCCAATTACAAAATTATGTATTACAGATTCCGCATTCCGGATTCCACTTTCAAAATTCCCAATTCGGGATTCACAATTTAGTATTCTGGATTCCAATTTTCACATTTTGGATTCCACATTCCGTATTCCACTTTTCAAATTCCGGATTCCACTTTACACATTCCGTATTTCGAATTTTACATTCCGGATTCCACTTTCCACATTCCGTATTTCACATTGCGGAACCCACTTTTAGTATTCAAAATTTCAGATTCCACATTCCGGATTCTACATTTTACATTCCGTATTCTGGATCCCACATTCCTGATTACACATTCCGGATTCTATATTCTGAATCCTATATTCCGGATTACACTTTTTACATTCCATATTCCGGATTTCACTTTCAAAATTCTGTATTCCACATCCCATATTCCGTATGCCACTTTCAAAATTTCAGATTCCACATTCCGGATTTCATTTTCAAAATTCCGTATTTCACATTCCGTATTCCGGATTCCACATACTGGATCCCACTTTCGAATTTACGTATTTCAGATTCTACACTTTAGATCCCACTTTTAAAATTCCCAATTTGGGATTCCACATTCCGTACTCTGGATTCCAATTTTCACATTTTGGATTCGACATTCAATATTCCACTTTTCAAATTCCGGATTCCACATTTCACATTCCGTATTTCGAATTTTACATTTCGAATCCTACCTACAAAATTCTATATTTCAGATTCCACTTTCAAAATCTCGTATTCCAGATTTCACATTCCGTATTCTGGATCCCACATTCCTGATTAAACATTCTGAATCCCATATTCCGGATTCCATTTTCAAAATTCCGTATTCCGGATTCCACATTCCGTATTCCACATTTCGTATCCCACTTTCAAAATTTCGTATTCCAAATTCCACATTCCGGATACCAGTTTCAAAATTCCGTATTCCAGATTCCATATTCCGGGTTCCACTTTCAAAATTCCGTATTTCACATTCCGTATTCCGGATTCGACATTCTGAATCCCACCTTCAAAATTACGTATTTCAGATTCTACACTCCGGATCCTACTTTTAAAATTCCCAATTCGGGATTCCACATTCCGTATTCCACTTTTCACATTCCTTGTTCTATTTTTCAAATTCCGGATTCCACTTTTTGGAAGTGGAATCCAGAATGTGTAAATCGGAATATGGAATTCGAAATGTGAAATCCGAAAAGTGAAATCCTGAATACGGAATTTGAAAAGTGGAATCCGGATTACGGAATGTGAAAAGTGGAATCCAGAATTTGGAATCCGTAAAAAGACACGTAATTGAACCCCAATTCGGTAAATTGTCATCTGGAATAAGTCCGACTAAATCCAAAATTTATCCGATTTGTGTAAATAGTGAATCCGGTATTAATCAGGTCTAATTCGAAGTCAGTCGAATCATACAAAGAATGCAGATTCTAGATTTACTGATTACATAGTCTCCGGATTAATTTCGGATTCAAAAGAAGTAATTTTGCATTTATTAGTTGTGAATCATCCGATTAATTTCGGATTAATTCCAGATATACTAATCACACAAATAATACTAATTTCGGATTTAACCGGACTAATTCCGGATATAATATAGAAACCCGACTCTAAAGCAGACTGTTTCGGATTAATTCCACATTCCAAAATATTAATCACAGTAATGACTAATATTGGTCTGAAGGCAACATGTCTTTTATGCCGACGTTGAATAATTTAATTAATTTTTTTTTTTTTAGCAAAGGGAAATAATTCTATTCCCATTGAAGTTCGCTTAAGACCAAAGCATGCACAGTGGCGTTATCGTTTAGATGTTTTAGCTGATGGTCGACGTGTCTATTTCGATCGATCTTCACTTAAATTTCAACATTTTCATGGAGTACTTGTTTACACTCCCACTTATAGTCTAAATCAAAGTGAAGTTATTATTATGTTTGACACTGGTGCAGGAGTAGAAGTTATTGAAAATGAAGGTTTTATGAGCGCAAGAGTTTATCTACCTTGGACTTATATGGTAATTTTTGCTTTAGATATAATATTATCACAGTTTAAAATTTCTTTTATAAAGAAAATTGATACAAAAATGTTTTTATCTAACATTTTATCTATTAAATGCTACAAAATTAGTTAATAAATTTTTTTTTTCTTTTCAAAGAATAAAACAAGAGGTTTAATGGGTAATTGGAGTTACGATATAAGTGATGATTTAAGAAATCCCGATGGTAGTACGTCGGAGATTGGTAATTTAAATAATTTTGAAAATGTACACAATAATTTTGCAATAAATTGGCTACTTGAAGATGCAGTAGATCCATTAAAAGGTGCTGCTCTATTTAGCCGTGAATTTGGTAAAACTGCAAGTCATTATGCTAATCGAACATTTAAACCCGAATGGAGACGTAATCCAGAAGATTTTTTAAATTCATCTAGGTAGGTTATGACATATAGAGTTATTATTAGTTGAAAAGAAATTTAAATATATTATTATATTTATATAATTGTAGAATCGATGACATAGATGATGCAAAACGTCTTTGTGGAGATAATTATCAGTGTAAATACGACTATGGAATGAGTTTGAATAGGGATCTTGCTGATTTTACCAAAAACTATTATAATAGTTGGAAAAACATTAGGGATACAAATTCTAAACGAGGTAAGTGAATTTGTTTTTACAGCATATATAATTTCTGACTCCGGATTGTATTTTGCTTTCTAAATACGTTAATCAATCAAGAATTTCGTGGATTCTATTTTAACGTCTCTGATGGAGTTTAGTATAAATATTATTATTATTATTACAGAGTTGTTAATAATTGTTATAATTAAATTGTTTCCAGTTACAACTTGTGGAATTTTGGAAACTCCTAGATTTGGACGCAAAAGTAATTTCTTTTTTGTTCCTGGTACAAGGGTTACCTTTGAATGTAATCAGGATTTTGTTTTAATTGGAGATCAGCGGCGGACTTGTACGCCTGGAGGAAGATGGGATATTCCAGAGTATGGATATACAGAATGCTTACGTAAGTACTATTTAATTAAATATAATCTTCGTCTTTCATTTTCTTGTTTTCTAATTATTATTATTATTATTAACTGATTGTACTCGGGAGAGGTTTCCATTTGACATTGAAACATCAAGTCTCAGATTTCTTTAAATTATTCAATTTCGAAGTATTTTGTTTGTCAAATAGGAACAATTTAAAAATTCTTTATAAAAAAAATTCAACCTATTTTTTGCAATAATCACATCATCAATAATAGTGTTTAAAATAACTTCTTTGGGAAATTATTGTAATATTTGAAGAATTAGAAATATTTCATACATTATTAAAAAAATGGGTATTAATTTATCAATCAAAATTTTATCATACTAATTAAAATCATTTGGAAACTTATATCGACTGAGTAGAGACAACATTATTAATTTTATTTTGTTGATATATCCACACTCACTCGTAAGGGAAGTCGTATTATTTGTAGAACATATAGATAATGCAAGTCTGATAATTTCAATGCATCAATATTTAGAATAAATTTTGCAGCTGATCAAACAATAGTACCAAATAATATAAAACCTAATTTGGTAATTAAATGACAACGAACAGGAATATTTGGAATTATATACATTTTATAATTATGGAAACTTGTATTATGTAAAATATTTAGCCTAAAATGAGTTGTTGCTGATACTTTGGACGGAAATACAAAGAATTTTAGTCTTTGCTTTGGAAAAGTGTGTTTTAAGCTATACATGATTTTGATGCACTGCTGAATAAAAAAGATTAATCAATCTAGCTCAGCAATAGAGTTGAAAATTTATTGCAAGATTGCAGAATATTTAAAAAAAATGTTACCTACTAACTTGGATTTGGAATTGCAACTAATTTTGCAATTGTTGTTTGCAGAGAATGAGCTTCTATGAAAAAACCTGAGAAATCTAAATAACTTTGGCTCGCATGTCAAAATAAAACAATCCGCATTAATTCAAAATCAATCTGGACGAAAAAACAAGTGCTCATTTCGAATTAATCAGGAATTTACAGTCCTCAACAATACAGATTTAATCCGTTCAAAAAACCCTAATCGGAAATTAGTCTATAATAATCTAAAGTCTAAGAAGCATCCGGAATTAGTTATCTTCAACATAATCAGGATCAAAGTTCCTAATCATAAACGAGATTTAAAAATTCGGTGTTATGTACAACAATCAGAAATTCGAAATTTAAACCCGAAATAATTCCAAATCAAACGATATAGCAAAATTATTTAATGCTATAAATAAAATAGTGTACAATTTTAATTGTTTAAAATTTGAAACTTGATGTTTTAATTGCATATGAAAAACCTAAAGAAATCAGCATAAAGTCTCCATATGATGAAAATTAACGTCTTTAATAATGTTTTACTTTCATACTGATAGAAATCGTATTTTAGTTATCAACTTTAATAAGAACAAAATTTACAGTTCTGCAATTAATTGTATACAATTAATTTTTCTAAAGGAATTACATTACCTTTAGAAAAGTTTATTGTACAATTAATTACAAAACTCTCAATTTCATATATAGAAAACTATATACTAATTATAAATATTAATTACTAAATTTTTAAAACAAAATTTTGACACAACTTTCTGAATAAATTTTATTTATCTATTGAAAAACAGCTTTTTTTTAAAAAAAAAAGAGTAAAACTTTTCACGTCCACAATGTACAGGTCAAATCGAGTATTCACAACGTACTGCCTGGACAACAATTGGTATCTTATGTGCAATATTAATTCCTGTAATTGCATGCGCAGCAGCAATATTTGTTTGTATAAAAAAAAATCAACAACAACGTGGAAGTTCAACAAAATCATGGCGTTTCTCAGATCGTGGATCAATAATTAATGATTCATTTACAATAAGACAGACAACACCATTAAAATCATATGATAGAACACTTTCTCCAACAAGTGATTCAAGTTCAAATATAAGTGGCTCAACAAGAAAACGACGTACTTACGATGGTGTTTATTATACTCATGAACCACTGCCAAATAGACCAGATGTTAATTTCGAAGAAAAAGATTGGGATCTCAAAGATCCTAAATCAACAACAAGTGAATCTGATTCTACATTTGAATCATTAAAAAAACCTGAAAGTCCCAGTAAAGAAAGTGATGTTTAAAAGCCATAAATTTTTTTTTTTTTAAACTATTGTTCCATTATATCATATGTCATTTAAGAAAAATCTATTTATATATCTTAAATTTAATACACATATCATATTTTGTCTCTGCTCGGTCGATTTTCGTTATTTTTTTTCTTAATTTCAAAAAACCTACAATTTAGAAGTAATATTATATTTTTTACCCATTCCCAAACAGTATTCGGATATTAAAAATATCCTAACGGTTGTCCTTGGAATATTCAAATATATATTTTGTAACTAATATAGTTTAAAATTTGTATAATTTTATAGTAAAATATATAATATATGAAATAATTAATATATATTTAATTATGTACGTGATAAATGAATAAATTTGGAAATTTCCAAATTAAAAGGAATTTCTTTATTATTTTAGCGATTTGATATAATTAAGAATTTCTTTGTAATTTATTTTCAACTAGCATCGAATGGATTTAACAATTTAAATAAAGTGGAAAATTTTAATTGACAACAAAAAATATATATATTAATTTTCAATATATGTTTGAGTGTTTTATAAGTATTTTAATTTGTTTATCTAAAAACAGGTCAACAAGAATACAGCTCACGGCAAGCGGGTTTAACTTTTGGTATCATTTGTGCATGCTTGGTACCAATACTATTATTAGTGGTATGTGTAGCGTACCGCGTTTTTAAAGCTCGTAGAGATGAACGTGAAGAGGAAGCGGCACAATCTAGGTAATTAAAATTATCTTCCGCTATCAAATAAAAATTTAGGCTTTATTGTCATATTTAATCGCGGGGCAAAGCTTTCCTTAACCCTATTCATGCCAACTGTTTTTCATGAATTCCCAGACTCCACCTTCCTAAATCAATTCACAAATTATATCCTCTAATTACATTCCTCTAATACATATCTGAAAAACTAATTAATTTAGGTAATTACTTTCAGTCCCAAAGATGTCTTTGGAATATTTTTGAGATGACTTAAATAATTAATTAAATTTGGTTGATTCAGTGGAATATTTTTTACAATAGTGTTAATTCATTACCTTCCGAGATTAACTTTATTTTTTTCAATATTAAATTAATGAAATTAAATAATTTAATTACATTAATTTAATTAATTAATTCCATCTAATTAATTAATTAATTAATTTAGTTAGTTAAATTAATTTAAGACTGTCCTGAAGATGTTTTTTGAATGTATTTAAGATATTTTTAAGAATTAATAGATTTAATTAATTTAAAGATACCGTAAAGACGTCTTTTTAAACCCCGTCTAACGATAATTTATTTAATTGTATTAATTAAATTGATTTAATTAATTAATTTACTAAAATAGATTGATTAAATTAATTGAATTTACTAATTTAATTATTTATTTTAAATAAATAAATTGTTTTGATTAATTTAAGGCTCTACTAAAAATGTCTTTTAAATGCTTTTAAGATAACCTTTTTACTTCATTAAGTAAATTAAATTAATTAATTAAGTAAATAATTAAATTTATTTATGTAATTAATTAATTTAATTTAATTGATTAATTAATTAAATTACTTAGTTGGATTAATTTAAGTATTTTAATTAATTTATTATAGTTCTCAAGAAGTCTTTTGAATGTTTTTAATATATCTTTTAGACTTAATTGACTTAATTAATTTAATGATATCCTGAAGACGTGTTTTGTGGATGTTTTTGATAAATCATTTAGACTTAATTAATAAATCAAATTAATTCTAATCAATTCAATTAATTAATTTATTGAATTAACTTAACTAATTAATTTGCTACATTGCATTGATGAAAGTAATTGAATTTACTAATTTAATTATTTATAATAAATAATTAAATTGGTTAAGTTAATTTAAGACTGTGCTAAAAATGTCTTTTAAATGCTTTTTAATTAACCATTAGACTTAAATCATATTCAATAGAATTAATTTATCAGTTAATTTATTTGATTAATTAACTTAATTTAAGTAATTATTTACAAATTACTTAGTTGAATTTATTTAAGTATTTTAATTAATTTAGAACTTAATTAAAGAAGTCTTTTTAGTGTTTTAAGATATCTTTTATACTTAATTGATTTAATTAATTTAAAGATATCCCGAAGACGTGATTTGGATGTTTTGAGATATCTTTTATAATTAATTAGATTAATTAATTCAGTTCAATTGAATTAATTCATTTGTTAAATTAAATTTACTAATTTAATTATTTCTTTTAAATAATTTATTTGTTTTAATTAATTTAAGGCTATCATAAAAGATGTTTTTTAACTACTTTTAAGATATCTTTTAGACTTAATTAATTTAATTAATTATATAAATGTACATCTTCTGCATGTTTTTGAGATATTCTAAACGTTCCGGTGCTCATTTTGGAGTTATGTTTTGATTTTTTCTTACAATCATTCGTTAATTAATTTTTTAATTACAGAAATCGACGTCCAGAATTAAGAAGTATGAGGAAATTTGATGAAGATGAAGGATCTCCTACCTTAGAAAGCAAAACTACTGAAATAAATTAAAAATTTTTGTCGAGGGAGAAGAATTCTTATATTTTTTAAGATTTATCTTCATATATAGGTTATATAATTTAAATTAGAAATTAATTATTAAATATTTTGTACAAATTTATTATATATTTAACATTTATATTTTAGAAAGTCTATATATATAAAAACTTTGTAATTCATTATTTCATTTATTAAAAAAATTTTTTTATTATTATTTTCGACATTTTCATTATTTTTTTTATTGAGTTTAAATAATTTTTCATTGTTACGTTCTTTTTCATCAAGATCATTCTCATTTCAAAGAATTATGTTTCTCTCTTTCTCTCTAATCTATAAAATATGTACTCTTTAAATTTAAATCAATGATATTCCGTTGATTCAGATTTAGAGAGTAGGAAAATTATATATTTATAATATAATAATTCTTAATTATTATATTCGCTGTCTATATTATTTAATTTAATCTGTTATTCTTATTTTAGAATTCTCAATGGTAATTATTAAATGCCGTAACCTCAACCCATGGGTTGACGTTAGGTACAGGCATTTGTTTGACCTTAAGTAATCTTCTTTAAAATAATTTCTTAAACTGTTTTATTTATTTCAATTTACTTATTCGAATTGATTTTATAAATAATCATTTACCCAATATCTGCCTAACGTCAATCCATTTGGGTTGACATTATACGGCATTTCGTATTCGCCAGGGCTATTACCACAATTAAAACTAAATAAGAAAATCGTTTTTTATTTGACACTCTACTGAATATGTATATTTTGGAGTAATTTAAAAATATTAAATAAAAAATGAATACCATGTTTATTATGTTTTTATAATTTTTATCCCAATAGGATGTTTCCAGTGAATTTAGTTTATAAAACTTAACTTTTAAACTGTCGAGTGGTAAAAAAATTACGTTTTGCGTCTTTCTCGGTCTGTTAGACCGCTATTAATTTTTTATATTTCTCTATAGTTAAATTATGTAATGAAAATAATTGTCGTTTATTGTTTTGAATTGTTTCACATATTGAAAAGTCTATTTTATTATTTTATTTATAAATAATTTAAGTATATTTACAGAATGATGAAAACGTCAAATCAATTATTGCAGGTTATGATAACTAACAGAAACTATATATAATTTTCATTGCATTTACGGCTAAGTAAAAAAAAAATTTAACTATTTTCCCGTTATTTTTCCAATAAAAATTAGTTAATTTTCACTATAATTGCTAAAGCAAAAAGTTAACTAAAATTTTACTAACAATTAGATATTTTTAACTAATTTAAATTTGAAGTGTAAAAAAAATTATTATATAAAAATAATAATAATAATAAATAATTATATAAAAATTAATATTTCAACTTTAGTTCAAATTGAATAAGACTTTTTATGAAGTCTTATTGAATTTATTAATTAACAAAAATGATTAATTATTTATTATTATATGAAATTAAATATTACTTATTACTTCAATAAAAACAAATACTTTTCGATGTCGTGTGGCGTTTTTGAAAATTCAAAATGGCGGATCTAACATGGCGACTAACTTTTATAAAATTAATTAAATTCACTTGAAAATTGCTACTCAGGGGTTTTTGGGGTCGCTGATTACGAATCCGATGATAGTTTTCAAATTCAAAATGGCGGATCCAATATGGCGACTAAATTTCATAAAATATATAAATTTACTTGAAAATTGCAACTCGGGGGGTTTGTGGGGTCGCTGATTACGAATCCGTGGATATTTTTCAAAAATTCAAAATGGCGGATCCAATATGGCGACTAGATTTTATAAAATTAATTAAATTCACTTGAAAATTGCTACTCAGGGGTTTTTGGGGTCGCTGATTACGAATCTGATGATAGTTTTCAAAAATTCAAAATGGCTAATTCAATATGGCGTCTAAATTGATGTGCAAATGGTTTCTCAAGCAAAAACGTCTATTACTTCTAGGTTAACACTAGATTTGTAATCAGCGACCCTAAAAACCCCTAAGTATCAAATTTCTGAAGAATCTGAGTAAAAACTTTGAACATTTATCCATCAATTTTGACGCCATATTGAAGTCGCCATTTTGAATTTTAGAAAACTATCATCAGATTCCTTATCAGCGACCCCAAATACCCCTAAGTAGCAATTTTTAAGTGAATTTAATTAATTTTATAAAATCTAGTCGCCATATTGGATTCGCCATTTTGAATTTTTGAAAAATATCATCGAATTCGTAATCAGCGACCCCAAAATCCCTCGAGTGGCAATTTTCAAGTGAATTTAATTGAATCGTGAATTTCGAAAAGGGCTCAACTCTGAAAACCGTAACTGTCATTTTCGCTATCATTTGTTATGCGAAAATGACACTTACGTTTTTTCGAGTTGAGCCCATTTCGAAATTCACGATTCAATTAATTTTATGAAATTTAGTCGCCATATTGGATCCGCCATTTTAAATGTTTCAAAACTATCATCGGATTTGTAATCAGCGACCCCAAAAACACCCGAGTGGCAATTTTCAAGCGATTTTATATATTTTATGAAATTTAGTCGCCATATTGGATCCGCCATTTTGAATTTGAAAACTATCATCGGATTCGTAATCAGCGACCTCAAAAAACCCCGGGTAGCAATTTTCAAGTGAATTTAATTAATTTTATAAAAGTTAGTCGCCATATTAGATCCGCCATTTTGAATTTTTAAAAACGTCACACGATATCGAAAAGTATTTGTTTTTATTGAAGTAATAAGCCTATGCCCGATTTTCTATATTTAAAATATTTTTGGGCAGAAGGGAGCTTCAGTTGACAAAGAATGCCTCATATATATATATATATATATATATATATGAACGCGTTCGGAAAATGCTCCCTGAAAAATCGATCCAAGTTGCGTGCGCCACGATAAGGCGCTATGTGGAGGATCCAAGTTGACATACACAAAAGACGTAATCAAAACAAGTGTTTATACACTATGCACTTCGGCTATTCATAATTCTTTTAATTAATTTAAATACCTATTTGAAAAAAAATGTTATGGAAACACAGTGTATTTCTTAAATGAATAGTGAAAATAAATTATTGAAAAAAATTAATTTCCTTAGAAAAATTAGTCAACGAACGTGACATCGTACATCAATGTTTCAGGTTAGATATAAAATATAATATATCACTATAATTTTCCAATTATTTACTAACTTGTTGATTTCTTTTTTATTTTTTTTTTGTATTTGCATTGTAATAGAAAATTATTTTACAATTAATATTAAATAACTAATATGAAAATATTGACATTATTAGAATTTCACCAAAAAAAACAATTAATTTTCAATTCTTTATAAATTAATAAACAGAAATTTTATTATTTTAATATTTTGTAGGTACTAATTTGAAAAAATTAATTTTTATAACTAATATGTATATTTTATGGAATTTATTATAAAAACAATTTTTGCACGTGGGATTTTTATATCTCAACAGGATTCGAATATTTAGGATCTCCTGGGGATAATATTTTGTCCGGGGAAATAAGGATATTCCCAATAGGATTTCCATATTTTCCATATAGGACGTCTACGGGCATTCCTAGAACATCTTAGGGATATAATCATAATTTTCCCGGAACAAATAATATCCCTAGGACGTCCATAGGATATCCTACTGAAATATGTGTGGGATAATAAATTTAATTAAAATAATATTAATCTATCTCTTGTTTTAAATTTTAGTATTTTTTTATCAAAAAATTTATTCGATTAATTAAAATTTTAATTTCTCTCTACATTCTATTCTCAAATAGAAGATTTTAAACACTTTTGTATTTCTTACTCGAATTCTTTGAATTTTTCAATTCTAACATTGCCTTAAACATTTTGAAGAAAAATGTTAATCACTTTCTGACTATTATTGCAATAAACCTGCTAGCTGTGCAAAATATACATAGAAGAATAAAGAATAAAAAAAAATTATTAGAGAACCAAACAAGTCATCCAGAGAGGAGAAGGAACAGATTGAATTTTTCTAAAAGGGAAGAAATAGAATTATATAGTGAAAAAAAGAAAAGGTTTAAAATTTTGACGAGGGGTTAAAAACGGAAAAGAAAAGATAAAAAAGAATAAAAAGAGATATAAAAAGATATAAAGAGACAGAAAGAGACACAAATGTATAGGAAGAAAAATAAAGAAATAGAAAGAGTTAAAAAGAGACAGAAAGAGATAGAAAAAGATATTAAGAGACAGAAAGAGACCGAAAGAGGTAGGAATATAATATATTTCTACAGAAAGAGATAGAAAGATATAGGAAAAGAGATAGATAGAGACGAGAGAGATATAAAGAGATATAAAGAGACAGAAAGATATTGAAATATATAGAATGTTATAGGAAGAGACAGAAAGAGATAGAAATATATATGTATAAATAAAAAAAAGAGATAAAAAGAAATAGAAAGAATAAAAAAAGCATAAAAACTAATAGCAAGGGATTAGAGCTGTGCAATGTTCGAATCGAATCGAATTTTGTTCGGTTTTTAATGACCCTGCCCTGGCGGATTTGATTTACCTAAATTCGACCCAGCTGGGACGAATCTAAGTCGAATCTAAGTCGAATTTAGGTAATTATCAAAAAAAAGCTTTAAATTGATGAAAATTTATAAAAATTAGTATTGTGAGGTTAAATGAACATTTATAGAGTTAATTTTTGTAAGAATTTTAATTATTAACGTGATGAATAATAAATAATCACTTGATATGTGCAAGTGGTAACTGTAGATTTTAACTCGTTGTCAGTTTTCATAATATTTTCAAGAAATTAGTGTAAAATGTGTGAAAAAATAATTTATATTTAATAGAAATTGCAAATTTTATTAAATAATAGAAACATCCTTCTATCTCTTTTTATCTCTTTTTATCTCTTTCAACCTTTTTTTTATCTCTTTTTATCACTTTCAATCTTTGTTCTATCTTTTTCAATCTCTTTCTGTTTATTTGTATTTATATCAATCTTTATTTATCTTCTTCTATCGCTGTATATCTTTACCTACATCTTTCAATTTTTGTTAATATCTTTTAATCTCTTTCATTCTCTGTTTATCTCTCTTAATTTCTTTTTATCCGTTTTAATGTCTTTATTCTCTTTTTGTTAACTCTTATTATCTTTGTTATCTTTTCTCTTTTTATGAAAATTTTAATATGATTTAATAGCTTATTCAATCCTTTTGTAGTAAATTTTAATTTCTTTCAATCTCTTTCAATCTCTTTTGAAACCCTTACAATCTCTTTCAATCTCTTTCAATCTTTTTCAATCTTTTTCTATCTCCTTCAACTTTTTTCAATCTCTTAAAACCTCTAACAATCTCTTTCATCTTTTTCTTCTATCTCTTTTTATCTGTTACAATCTCTTTCCATCTTTTTTCTATTTCTTTATATCTCTTTCAATCTCTTTTAATCTTTTTTCTATCTCTTTCTATCTCTTTCTGTCTCTTTCAATCTCTTTTATTCTTTTTTCTATCTCTTTCTGTCTCTTGTTATATCTTTCCATATTTTTGTTTTTATTTATTATCTCTTTTCTCTCTTTCCATGTCTTTGTATCAACGTTAATCTATTTTTATCTTATTTTGTCATTATTATTTTATCTCTTTTGACACTTTTTTTATCTCTCTTTTCATCTTTTTCTATCTTTCTTATTTATTTTTTATCTCTTTTGTCTCTTTCTATCACTGTCTATCTCTTTTTATCTATTTGTATCTTTTTTTATCATTATTATTTTGTTTTTTTTTGTCACTTTCTATCTCTCTCTATCTAAGAATTAGAAAAAAATAAAAACAGATTGAAAAAGATAAAAAAAAATAAGTAAGTACTTAAATTTTGTAGATGGAAAGTGGAATGAATTTAGTAGTAGAAAAATTAATTAAATTGTAAAAATAAGGATTAAAAAAGTTGAAGGAGATAGAAGAGATAAAGTAAAGATATAAGTGAATAGAAAGGAAATAGATTAGGTTTGTTTGTTTTATAAACTAAGTTTCAATTAATTTTTTAGACCTTTATGTAACGAGGTGGTGTGCAACCAATTAATATCCAGATAAAGAGTAAAGAAGACATTTCCTCCAAAAGAAAAGAAAAGTCTCAAGTAAGTTATAACACATTCAATTCAAAAATTCTTCATTACTAATATTTCTAAATTAGCGGATTTTAAATATAATTCAATTTGGAAAGTTGAAAAGTTTTTAAATTTCTTCTTAAATTTTACAATTTTTTTTTTGAAATATTAAAATTCTTGGACTTTTCTTTTCTCTGGATATTTCTTAAAATTACAAATTCTGGATATTATTCAAAATTAGAGAAGAAAAATTGGACAATGATTTATATCTATTTCTTAAAATGAAAATGTTTCTTTTTTTGTTTTAGTTCGGATGTCGACCATGGAATTTGAGCTTTATATGCGTGATTGTACTTGTTTTGTCAAATATTTTATTGACCTTTTTATTACTACAATCAGAAACATGTATACCTTTCAATACTGCCAAAGAATTAGATTCAAATATTGTCACAGAATGGAATTTGCAATCATGGCAAAAAGATGACATACCTGAAAAATTGTGTCCCCAACAAGAGGAACTTCCAAAGGAGGATGATATTTTAAAATTAAATATTCAATTAGGTAGATGGGATTCAAGACGTCTTTATAAAACATTTGATTCAATATTAGTTGGTGATAAATTTATTGATTTATCAAAAATGTCAAAAGTTTGTCTTGCAACGCAAACATCAGTTGAAAAATTACATTCATTAGTTCAAGTTGTACATCATTGGTCAGGACCAATTTCAATATCAATATTTGTCGCTGGTGATGAGGAATTTCAAATTTTACAAAAATATCTTATTTATTTGAAAAAATGTTATGAACCAATTAAAAATCAAGTTACATTTTCATTGACAATACCAAAATCGAAATTACTTTCAAAACAACCAAATGTTTTTGATATGCCTGAAAATAGTGATTGCTTAAAACCTGAGGCAACATTAAATTCATTATTAAATGAAATATCTGAAGAGCAATCAAATTGGAGGATACGCAATGTATATCCACAAAATCATATGAGGAATTTGGCAAGAAAAAATTGTCAATCTGATTATGTTTTTTTGACTGATGTTGATATTGTACCTAGTCATAATATGGCGGCAGTATTAGAAGAATTTCTATTAGTTGATAATTGTGAAAAATGTGCATATGTGATACCAACTTATGAATTAGATGCAAGAGTTAGATTTCCACAAAATAAATCGGAATTAATTCGTTTAGCTAAAAAAGGTCTTGCACGACCATTTCATCAAAAAGTTTTTATTCACAATCAATTTGCCACAAATTTTACAAGGTATAATTTTATATTTTGAAAATAATATTTTTCTATTTGTGTAAAAATAAATTCTTTTGTTTTTTTTTTTAATAATGGTGAATTTTAGGTGGGCAATGGATGTTAATTCAGGTCATCAAAATCATGAAAATTTTAAAAATGGCAAAATTTACATAAGTCATGATGTGACGAATTTTGAATTTCTCTATGAACCGTTTTATGTTGCCAAAGATATTGTACCTTCACATGATGAGAGATTTATGGGTTATGGATATACGAGAAATACTCAGGTAATATTATTTATTATTATTTTTAATTAAATTTAGTTAATGTTAAATTAAAATTTTTAATAATAGGAAATTATATCAAGCTCTGCTGGAAGTAAAGGAAATAGAAATCCTATCTCTTTTAATATTTTCTTGAAATCTATTTCTATTGTTTACAAATTCTGTACTATTAAATATGTTCTTCTATCTCTATTCAAATCACTGTTTATATTTTCTTTCTCTTTTTTGTATCTTTTTACCTCTTCATATCTCATTATATTTTTTTATTTCTTTTTATTTCTATTTATTTCTATTTATTTCTTTTTATTTCTTTCTATTTCTTTTTATCTCTTTTTATCTCCTTTTATCTCTTTTTATCTCTTTTTATCTCTTTTTATTTCTTTCTAACTCTTAGATAGAAGGAGTTAAAAAGTGACAAAGGAAAGAGATAAAAAAAGTGATAAAAGAGATAAAAAGAAATAAAAATAAATAAAAAGTGATAGAAAGAGATAGAAAAATATAAAACGAGACAGAAAAAGATAGAAAGAGATAAAAATAGAAAAAAAGAGATAGAAAGAGAAAGAAAGTGACAAAAGAGATAAAAATAGATACATACTTTTATTTTTTTTAATATTATTTAATCTCTTTTTATCTCTTGCTATTTATTTCTATTCTTTTCTATTTCTTTATTATGATTTATTTCTATATCATTCTATCTCTTTATATCTCTTCTAATCTCTTTCATTCATTGCTTATTTCTTTTAAATTCTTTTTTACTCTTTTAATCTCTTTTATTTTCTTTTATTCTATTTTTTATAACTTCTTATCTTTTTTTATACAGATTTTAATTTGATTCTATTTTATATTCAATCATCTTGCAGTAAATTTCATTCTTTATTTTCTCTTATCACTTTTAATATATATATGTTCTAATGTTTTTTAAAATTATTTTCTATTTATTTGTATCTATTTCTATATCTATTTATCTTTTTCTATCTCTTTCAATTTATTTTTACATTTCTCTATATCCGTTTATATTTTTCTATCTCTTTCTATATCTTTCTAATATCTTTTTTTTCTATTTCAATATCTTTCATCTTTTTTCTGTCTCTTACAATCTCTTTCAATCTCTTTTAATCTCTATTAATCACTTTTAATCACTTTTAATCTCTTTCAATCTTTGTTCTATCTCTTTCAATCTCTTTCAGTTTATTTGTATTTATTTCAATCTTTATTTAAATTCTTCTATCGCTGTATATCTTTACCTATATCTTTCAATCACTGTTAATATTTTTTAATCTCTTTCATTCTCTCTCATTTTCTGTTTATCTCTCTTAATTTCTTTTTATCCATTTTAATGTCTTTTATTCTCTTTTTTTTAACTCTTATTATCTTTGTTATCTTTTTTCTTTTTATAAAAATTTTAATATGATTTAATAACTTATTCAATACTTTTGTAGTAAATTTCAATTTTTTTCAATCTTTTTTAATCTCTTGTTAAACCCTTACAGTCTCTTTCAATCTTTTTCTATCTCCTTCAACCTTTTTCAATCTCTTAAAATCTCTTACAATCTCTTTCAAATTTTTTTTCTATCTCTTTATATCTGTTACAATCTCTTTCAATTTTTTTCTATCTCTTTATATCTGTTACAATCTCTTTCAATATTTTTTCTATCTCTTTCTATCTTTTTCTGTCTCTTTCAATCTCTTTTATTCTTTTTTCTATCTCTTTCTTTCTCTTTCAATCTCTTTTATTCTTTTTTCTATCTCTTTCTATCTCTTTCTGTCTCTTTCAATCTCTTTTATTTTTTTTCTATCTCTTTTTATCTCTTTCTGTCTCTTTTTATATCTTTCAATATTTTTTCTGTCTCTTTCAATCTCTTTCTTTCTCTTTCAATCTCTTTTATTCTTTTTTCTATCTCTTTCTGTCTCTTTTTATATCTTTCAATATTTTTTCTGTCTCTTTCAATCTCTTTTATTCTTTTTTCTATCTCTTTCTTTCTCTTTCAATCTCTTTTATTCTTTTTTCTATCTCTTTCTATCTCTTTCTGTCTCTTTTTATATCTTTCAATATTTTTTCTATCTCTTTCAATCTCTTTTAATCTTTTTTCTATCTCTTTCTATCTCCTTTTATCTCTTTCTATCCCTTTCTATCTCTTTCAATCTTTTTCTATCACTTTTAATCTCTTTCAATCTCTTTTAATCTCTTTCTATCTTTTTCAATCTCTTTTAATCACTTTCTATCTTTTTCAATCTCTTTTAATCACTTTCTATCTTTTTCAATCTCTTTTTGAATCGTTTAATTTTTTTTATCGCTTGTTAACAGGTAGATTAAAGAAAATTAAATGAAATTAAATTTATTTAAAAACATTATATTGTTTTTTTTTTTTTTTTTTGCTATGACATAGAATTTATAAATAATTTTTTTTTTTTATAGGTATATGAGATGTATGTATCTGGTTATAAATTTAAAGTTTTGTCGCCGATATTTACAATTCATTGGGGTTTACAAACAAGAAAAAGTAGGCCCAGTTGGCGAGAGAGACAAAACAGCGCCAACAGAAAACAATTTGAAGTATTTAAAAAAGAGATATTCGCAAAATATGTGCATCAAGATTCTTCAAAAGTTATAAAAACACTTCATTGACGTGTATAGTTTTTTTTTTACATTATAAAAATGACAAATTTATGTAAAATGATTTTCTATTGACATATATTTATAGATATATAAGTATTGTGGGTAAAAAAAAATGAGTGCTGATATATGTGAAGATATATATATATATCGTGTAAGACAATATTTAATAGGAAATGAATTTATTATTAAAATATTCATATAATTAATAATATATATAAAAACAAATTATTTTAAGGGGTTATACTATCTTAAAATTTTGAGAAGTAAAATTTTTTTGTTTTTAAGACTTTTTTTCCCACTAACTATAAAAAAAAGCAAGAAATCGTTTTTAGTATTCTAAATAATATTGTCAATTTTTTATCTCTATATTTTGTTTTTATTTAATTCAATTATCATAAGGTAGTAAAACTCTTTATAAATATATAAATAGCTGCCATTTAATATATGTACTAGATGAAAAAAAAAATATTTTATAAACGTAACTTGGTATACATACTAGCTTTAAATTTGATTTAAAGTAATTGATACAAGATTTATGTATAATACTTTTAAAAAAATTAAAGAGCAATATTTTTTACTGTGTCAAATATATATATTGAGAATTGTATATTATACTTTTTCTGTAATAATTTTCATTGTTTGTTTTTTCCTTTAAAATGATGTTAATATTAATAAAAAAAAAAATTAATGTTCGATTTTATAAATTATTAAATTTATTAATAAAAATTTGACTAAACAATGCCCGTTACATTTTTAATCCAAGTTATATATGATAATAGATTTGTGTATGCAGTAGGATAATTATAGCCACATGAATAACTCCAAGAAGCCATACCTGAAAAAAAATTAATACCTTTTAATAAGTTATACTTTCACTTTGACTTTCACTTCCACATTGACTTTCATTTTTTACTTTCACTTTGACTTTAATTTTCACTTTCATTTTTTATTTTTATTTTCACTCTTTATTTTCAATTTCATTTTCACATTTCATATTTACTTTCATTTTCACTTAAATTTTCATTTTTCAATGAAAAATTTCTATCGAAATCAAAAATAGAAATGAAAGTGAAAGTGAAAATAAAATTTACATAATCGCGCCACCTCTGTTGATTTTTAATAAAATATTTCTCTCACCAAAAAGTATGTCATTCAGTTTAGCTGGAGAACCAGTATCACCAACACAAGGACCGTAACCATTTTTGTAAACACAAAAAGTATCCTCTTTAATTGAACCATTTCCATAAACATATTCACAAACTCTATTATTAATTTTAGCAACTTGTGTTTCACGAAGAGAGTTTGATAAAAGATGTATTTCCTGTGAAAATAATTAAAAAAAAATTTTTTAATGTCAAAAAAAATTACGTTTAGTGCATTCACGGTCCGTTAGACCGCAAAATTTAAATCTTTACATATTACTAGAGGGTTTTTTTAAGTTAATTATTGTACCATTATTTTGTACTTTTCTTCAATTTATTGGGCAAAAAAAAATCAATTTTTCCAATTTAAAAACGTTGGTTTTATTAGAAATTTGTTATTCGGGGTTTTTTTTATGATCGCGGATTATAAATTAGACATTAAATTTGAATTTGGTGACCTGAAAAATCCCCGAGTAACAAGTTTCATAAAAATCGGATAAATTTTTAAAAAATTCGTCCTTCATATTGGATCTGCCATTTTGAATTTTGTAAAACTAATATCGAATTCGTAATCAGAGACCCAGAAAAACCCCCCGAGTAACAAGTTTCAAGCAAATTCAGTATATTTTTAAAATTTCTGTCCGTCATATTGGATCTGCCATTTTGAATTTTTAAAACTGGATGTCAGATTTGTAATCAGCGACCCAAAAAATCCCCGAGTAACAAATTTCAAGTGAATTGAGAAAATTTTTAAAATTTTTGTCGGACATATTGGATACGCCATTTTGAATTTTGAAAAACTGATATCGGATTCGTAATCAGCCATCCAAAAACCCCCCGAGTGACAAGTTTTAAGCAAATTAGGGAAATTTTTAAAATTTTTGTACGCCATGTTGATTCCGCCATTTTGAATTTTGAAAAACTGGTGTCAAATTCGTAATCAGCGACCCAAAAAAACCCCGAGTGACAAGTTTCAGGCAAATTGGGGAAATTTTTAAAATTTTTGTACGCCATGTTGATTCCGCCATTTTGAATTTTGAAAAACTGGCGTCAAATTCGTAATCAGCGACCCAAAAAAACCCCGAGTGACAAGTTTTAAGCGAATTGGGGAAATTTTTAAAATTTTTGTCCGACATATTGGATCCGCCATTTTGAATTTTGAAAAACTGATATCGAATTCGTAATCAGCCATCCAAAAACCCCCCGAGTGACAAGTTTTAAGCGAATTAGGGAAATTTTTAAAATTTTTGTACGCCATGTTGATTCCGCCATTTTGAATTTTGAAAAACTGGTGTCAAATTCGTAATCAGCGACCCAAAAAAACCCCGAGTGACAAGTTTTAAGCGAATTGGGGAAATTTTTAAAATTCTTGTACGCCATGTTGATTCCGCCATTTTGAATTTTGAAAAACTGGTATCAAATTCGTAATCGGCGACCGTTAAAAATCACCGAATAACAAGTTTCAAGCGAATTAAGTACATTTTTAACTTTTTTGTCCACCATATTGGATGCGCCATTTTGAATTTTGAAAAACTGATATCGGATTCGTAATCAGCGACCCAAATAACCCCCGAGTGACAAGTTTTAAGCGAATTGGGGAAATTTTTAAAATTTTTGTCCGACATATTGGATCCGCCATTTTGAATTTTGAAAAACTGATATCGGATTCGTAATCAGCCTCCCAAAAAACCCCTGAGTGACAAGTTTTAAGCGAATTGGGGAAATTTTTAAAATTTTTGTACGCCATGTTGATTCCGCCATTTTGAATTTTGAAAAACTGGTGTCAAATTCGTAATCAGCGACCCAAAAAAACCCCGAGTGACAAGTTTCAGGCAAATTGGGGAAATTTTTAAAATTTTTGTACGCCATGTTGATTCCGCCATTTTGAATTTTGAAAAACTGGCGTCAAATTCGTAATCAGCGACCCAAAAAAACCCCGAGTGACAAGTTTTAAGCGAATTGGGGAAATTTTTAAAATTTTTGTCCGACATATTGGATCCGCCATTTTGAATTTTGAAAAACTGATATCGAATTCGTAATCAGCCATCCAAAAACCCCCCGAGTGACAAGTTTTAAGCGAATTAGGGAAATTTTTAAAATTTTTGTACGCCATGTTGATTCCGCCATTTTGAATTTTGAAAAACTGGTGTCAAATTCGTAATCAGCGACCCAAAAAAACCCCGAGTGACAAGTTTTAAGCGAATTGGGGAAATTTTTAAAATTCTTGTACGCCATGTTGATTCCGCCATTTTGAATTTTGAAAAACTGGTATCAAATTCGTAATCGGCGACCGTTAAAAATCACCGAATAACAAGTTTCAAGCGAATTAAGTACATTTTTAACTTTTTTGTCCACCATATTGGATGCGCCATTTTGAATTTTGAAAAACTGATATCGGATTCGTAATCAGCGACCCAAATAACCCCCGAGTGACAAGTTTTAAGCGAATTGGGGAAATTTTTAAAATTTTTGTCCGACATATTGGATCCGCCATTTTGAATTTTGAAAAACTGATATCGGATTCGTAATCAGCCTCCCAAAAAACCCCTGAGTGACAAGTTTTAAGCGAATTGGGGAAATTTTTAAAATTTTTGTACGCCATGTTGATTCCGCCATTTTGAATTTTGAAAAACTGGTATCAAATTCGTAATCGGCGACCGAAAAAAATCACCGAATAACAAGTTTCAAGCGAGTTAAGTACATTTTTAACATTTTTGTCCGCCATATTGGATGCGCCATTTTGAATTTTGAAAAAACTGATATTGGATTCGTAATCAGCCACGAGAAAAACCTCCGAGTAACGAAATTCAAAAGAATCCGATGAATTTATAAAAATTTGTCTACCATATTGAATCTGCCATTTTGAATTTTGGAAATCTAATGCTAGATTCATAATCATCGATAACAAAAAAATCCCCTATTAACAAGTTTCAAAAGATTTCGGTTAATTTAGAAAAAAAATTCGTCCGCCATATTAGATCCACCATTTTGATTATTTTTTTTTTACTAATAAAAATGCATTTTTTACTTGCTTAAATAAAAATCCCATTATATGTTGGAAGTAAAAATTGAAAATATCATTGTATAAAAAATAATATTATCAAATATCGTATTTTTGACTTACATCAAATTTACCCCAACCAGCAATGTCAAGTAGAGTATTGTCTTTTATAATCATATCCGCTGTTGGCAGTTTAATAGGTTTTATCCTATCGTTAAAAAGCACACCTGTAGATAACTGCAATTAAATGAAATTCATAATTATCATAAATATTATTTTATAATAGCCAAATATCACTTAATTAAGATTATATAAGATTTATTATCAAGTCATTGATTAAAAATTTTGAAAAAGTATTATATCTTACTTTAATCAGAGCTATATCATAGCCAATCTGTGCGTCAATGAATTTTGGATGGATTATTATTTCAGCTGGTTTATATACTTCACCATCCTTAAAATATTTCGTTGATCCACCTCTAATATGAAAATTATTAATGTTTCTTCTGTAAAAAAAAATAATTAATTATTATATATTAAGAAAAAAAAGTGTTGTCAATTTAACTTTATATTAAATATATTGTATGTGATTGTAACAGATACAAAGGGATACAAATAAATAGAAATAATAAGAGAAAGATAGAAACAGGTTAAGAAAAATAAAGAGGGATAGAAAGAGATATTAATTAATGGAAAGAGGGAGAATAAGAAAGAAGTTGAACAAAGAAAGAGATAAATAGAGATAGAAAATGATCGAAAAGGATAGAAAATAATAGAAAGATATAAAAAAAGATAGAAAAGGAAAGAAAGAGATAAAAAGAGATAAAAAGAGATAGAAAGAAATAAAAAGAGATAAAAAGAGATAAAAAGAGATAAAAAGGGATAAAAAGGATAAAAAGATAAATAGAGATAGTAAGAGAATATAGAGACAAAAAGAGAAAAAAGAGAATGAAAGAGATTGAAAAAGATAAGAAAGAGATAGAAAGAGATAAAAAGAAATTGGAATATATAGAAAGAAATAGAGAGAGAGAGAGAGAGAGAGAGAGAGACAAAAATAAACAGAAATAGAAAGAAAATTTGAATAGAGATAAAAAGAGATTAGAAAAACATAAAGAACATAGAAAGTGTTTGAAAGGGATATAAAGAAGTAGAAAGAAGTAAAAAAAAGAGCTAAATAGAGGCAGAAGACGATAGAAAGAAACTGAACGAGAAAAATTGAGATGGAAAAAGATAGAAAGAGGTTGAAAAAAAAAAATGAATAAAAAGAAAAAGAAAATAATAGAAAGAGATATAAAGAGATAGAATGAGACAAAAAGAAATAGAAAATAATAGAAAGAGATAAATTGAGATTGAAAATGATAGAAAGAGATAGAAAGATATTGAAAGGAATAAAAAGGAATAAAAAGAAATAGAAAATAAAAAGGAGATGGAGAGAGATAAATATACAGAAAATGATAGAGAGAGGTTGAAAAAAATAAAAAGAAATAAAAAGAAAAAGAAAATAATAGAAAGAGATAGAAAGATATAGAAAGAGATAAAAAGAAATAGAAAATAATAGAAAGAGATAAAGAGAGATAAAAAAAGATTAAACGAAATAGAAAATAATAGAAAGAGATATAAAGAGATATAAAGAGACAAAAGAAATAAAAAATAATAGAAAGAGATAGAAAGAGATAAATTGAGATTGAAAATGATAGAAAAAGGGATTGAAAAAAATAAAAAGTGATAAAAAGAAATAAAAAATAATAGAAAGAGATAGAAAGAGACAAGAAGAAATAGAAAATAATATAAAGAGATATAAAGAGATAAAGAGAGATAAAAAGAGATAAAAAGAGATAAATAGAAATACAAAGAGTTTTGAAATATTAAAAAATTCAAAAATTTACGCTTTCATGCATTGTGCCGCTGTCAGAATCCAATATTCACTAATAATGTTACCACAACAAAAGTGCACGACTGAATGATTGAAAAATGTTCCATTATATTGTAGTGATACCTTTGTTTTGAAAAAAAAAAAAAATTATAAAATATCTGTACGATTTTTGAGATATATGTATATTTTACTAAACAAAATTTGCATTTCATTGAATTTTAATATTGTGTTCATGAGGATTAGACTTTAAAAAAAAAAATTAATATTTTTGCTGAATTGTATAAATATTTTTTAGTATGTAAACTTACCAAAAATGGAAATTTTTCTATTGTTGTTAAATGACCATTAATTATTTTCGATGTTCGAATTGAAGAAATTTTTAATGAAGATGATTTATCTGAATAAATAATTTAAAAATTTACATTTAGAGAACAAAAAAATATTTTTTATTAAAATTAATATTAAATAATAATAATAATATTATTATTATTTCTATTATTATTATTATTATTATTATCGTTTTAAAACGTTTTAGATACGTTTTTAGAACGTTAGTGTTTTTTTACCACTGGGTAATTTAGAGTATTTTAGAAATTAATATCCCAAAAATATTATCTAAATTCCAATATTCTAGAAAAATTAGTAATATTTCAAAAATTATGGAGAATTTTTTTTTTTAGTTGCAAACCAGATTTTATGCTTTCGAAAAATAATTTTTGTATTTATTCCTTAAAAATGACTTATACTGTAAAAAATTAACAATATTTCTAAATAACGCACGAGATATCACCAATAAAAATCCACAGAGTAGCAAAAAAATGATTTTAAACATTTTTTTCAAAAAAAAAAACAAAAAACACTTATAAAAAAGTGTCTTTTTATTCATCTTTTATAAAGCGGACATAGCATTATCTTGCGATATTTCAAAATTACACCGGACATTTCCATTTCTTATCGAAGAATAAAAAGATAACGTTCCACTAATTTTTAGTCTTTTTCTTTTCATCTAATTGATAAAATGCTAATATTTAAATAAAATGTAAGTCAATAAAAAAAATAATAATAATAATAATAATTTTCAAATATAAGTCAGAATTTATTTTTAAACTTTTATGGAATAATTAGCAAATAATGAGATTTTTTTTTAAGTATTTAAAGCTTAAAATCCTTTGACAAGTACACGATAAAATTTTAATTTACCTATATTGCTTGTGTGTATAATCTTAAATTTTTAAGCTGTGCATTAAATAGATATAATGTTCTGAAAATGAATATGAAATACATGATAAAAAGGTAAAGAAAAAAAGAAAAAAAAATTGTGAAATTTTACGATTGTTTTAAATTAAACGTTAGTATGACTATTTTTTTTTTTTATTGGGAATTTTCATTTTGAAATTTTTGCAACTTGATTCTGTGAAAAAATATAAACAATAAATTTTTCAGAAAAGAGTATAATTATAGGAAAATGTTCTTATCATGCAAGACAGGTAATTTTTATTATGACTCTTCTATAAATTGCAAATTGTTTTTAAACTTTGAAGACTTTTTTTTTGATGTGCTCATTACTGAAACTATAATAAAATGTTGGCTATGATTATTTAATGATCATTTAATTTATAGAAGTTAAATTATTCGATTTGCATATAAGTGTATTACAAATTATAATAAGTTGTATAGTTTATTCAATTGATTTCAAAGTTTAGATCAGTGTAAGAGGGTTCGACCCTTTTTCTATTTCCTCGCTTCGTTTCGCAGGCGATTATATTTATTTATATTATAGTAGGGGAGACCGGGGTTACTTGGCGCACTCTTTACTCTTTGTTGTGTAACTCACTCATTTTTGCTTTTTTTAAAAAGTTAATGTATAGAAAACTTGTTGTAACATATCAGCTTTAATTAAAAAAAAAGAAAGTTAAAATATATTTAATACTTTTATTTTTATACCACTTTATTTGAAGCTGTACAAAGTGCGCCAAGCAACCCCGTCCCGGGGTTGCGTGGCGCAGGAGTGAAATTAAAATTAAATTATATGATTTAAAGTTTAAATAATATAAGACTTAACAAAAAAAGTCTTGTACTGTAATTTTACAATAAAATTATTTTAAATTTAAAAATTAGAAAATTTCATTTAAATTAAATGAAATCGTAAAATTACCAAAAAATATATTTTTTTTATAATAACGCTGTGAATATTTAAAAACCATTATTCGGTTAAATTTTTTGAATAGGATTGTTATTGGTGCTTATTAATGTGTAAATTTCATATAATCAACTTCATTTTATTAATATTTAACGAAATTTTCAGATAACCGCGCCACCTAACCCCGAATGTACTTTTGAAATATTTATTAATTTTTTATAAAAACTGTCAATATAAATCAAAAATTTTTTTTTGTTTCTTAATAACAAATGTATAGAGCTCAAAACTTAATATTTAAGCTCTTCTAAAATTAATTTTTTAAAAAGATATCACAAAAAAATGAAGAGGTTAAAAAATTACTTTGGAATGCCAAAATCAGTTATTTTAATCTATACTCCACAATAATTAATGAATATTAATGAAATTTTGTACAAACTTACAGTTCATCAAGTCCCTATAATAACACAAGATATCTTGGGATATATTGATAATATCCCTTGGATATCCTAGGGATGTCCTATGGATATCAAAAGGATCTCTTAAGGATATCCAAAAAATCAGCGGTTTGGATATTCTTTGGATATCCACAGGATATCTTCTGGATATCTCTATAGACTTTCATAAATGTCCTCAGGATACTGTTTTTAAAGTCATTATGAGACTACGACTGAGAATATTCTGCGAATTAAATTTTATATAAATAAAATAAAATGCAACTTGTTTTTCGAGAAAGTTGTTTAATTTGAAAAATTATTAAATAATTTTTTTCTCATTCTTGATTCTTTCCTTTATTCATATGCTTAATATTGTCAGAAAATAAATTGGCTTTAAACAATATAAATTCTTCCCCGCAAATAACGAATAACTATTAATATTAATTATACATTAAGTGCATGAGTTTATTTAAAAACTTTGAAAAATGCGTTTCAAATCTTCATTTAAAATAAATTAGAAGCTTATAAGATTTTTGTTTTTATTACATTATTATTCATTATATTAGCTTAACAATTTTAACCTTTAAAAATATATGTTGAGATATTAAATATCCCGTGAATATCCTAAGAATATCCCACGGACATCCTGAGGATATCCCATGGATATCCTGCGATATAATATCCAATATATATTTTGTGGATGTCTTACAATTAGGGATATCCTGTGGATATCTTATGAATGTCCTGTTGATGTCCCACAGACCGGCGGTTTGGATATCCCAAGATATCCTAGGGACCATTCTAGGATATCGACCATTGATATGGATATCCTATGGATATCCTAGGGATATCCTTTTGTTATGAGGGTATAAGTTAAAAATTGCATACGAGGAAAAAAATAAATAAAGCGGGATGGAAAAAGATAAAAAGAAATTGAATATATAGAAAGAAAAAAGAAAGAGATAAAAAGAGATAGAAAAATGCAGAATGATATAGAAAGAGACAGAAAGATATAAAAAAGGTAGAAATAGTTAGAAAAAAATAAAAAGAGATAGAAAAACATAAAAAGAGATTGAAAGAGATAAAAAGAGATAGAAAAAAATAGAAAAAAGTAGAGAAGAATATAAATAGAGACAGTAGACGATAGAAGGAGATAGAAAGAAAGTGAAAGTTATAAATAGAGACAGAAAAAGGTAGAAAGAGATTGAAAGAGATAAAAAAGATAGAAAGAGATAGAAATGACTAAAAAGAAATAGAAAGAGATAGGAAGAAAAAGAATAGAATTGAAAGAGATTAAAGGGAATAGAAATAAATAAAAATAATTACAAAGAGCTAAAAAGAATTAAAAATTAATAGCAGGATATTGTATGAGATAAAAAAAAGAAATAGAAAGAGATTAAAAGAGATAGATAAAGGTAAAAAAAGATTGAAATAAATAAAAAGAGATTAAAAGAAATAGGAAATAATATAAAGAGATAAAAAGAGATAAAAAAGGATTTAAAGGAGTTTAAAAGAGATAAAAAGAGATAGAAAGAGATAGAACGAGATAAATGAGATAGAAAAAGATAGAAAGAGATAAAAAGAGATAGAAAGAGATAGAAAGAGATAAAAAGAGATAGAAAGAGATAGAAAGAGATAGAAAGAGATAGAAAGAGATAGAAAGAGATAGAAAGAGATAGAAAGAGATAAAAAGAGATAGAAAGAGATAGGAAGAGATAGAAAGAGATAAGAAAAAAAAGGAATAGAAAGAAATAAAAAAGGATAGAAATAAATAAAGATAATTAGAAAGATGTAAAAAGAATTAAAAAAAGAATAGAATGATATTGAAATAGTTAATAAAATAATTGGAAAGAAATAGAAAAAGATATAGAGAGATAGAGAGAGATAAAAATAATTATAAAGAGTTAGATAGAGATACAAAGGAATAGAAATAAATAAAATTGTTTTCTCTTGAAAGAGATAACAAGAGGTAAAAAGAGATAGGAAATAATAATAAAAGATTTTAAAGATATAGAAAGGGACAAAAATATACAGAAGGAGATAGAATGAGATTGTAATAAAAATAAAAAGAGATAGAAAGTATGAGATATAAAGGGACTAAAAGATTTCAAGAGATATATAAAAAGATAGGAAGAGATAAAAATAGACAGAAAGAGATAAAAAGAAATAGATAGATAGAAATGGTAAGAGATAGAAGAAGATATAAGGAGATAGAAAGAGGAAAACAGAAAACATTCAGAAGATACTATTAAATAAAAAAGAGATAGAAAAATATAAAAACAAATAGACAGAGATATTAATATATAGAAAAATATATATGGAGATAAAAAGGGATAGAAAATTATGTAGATATGTATATACAGAGATACAAATAAATAGATAGAGATTGAAATATATATATATATATATATATATATATATATATAAAGAGATAATAAAGGTATAGGAAATTAATGAAAGATATTAAAAGAGATAGAAAAGATAAGTAGATATAGAAAGAGATCAAAATAGAAATACGAGGAGATAATAAAGATATATAAAATTAATGAAAGATATAAAAAGATATGGGAAACGATAGGAAGAGATAGAAAGAGATTAAAAGAAAATGTATTAAGAATTATATTAACATTTTTGTCATGTGCCGCAGTACTAATATTATTTTATACGATATTAATAATTATTTTTCTCTGTATCTATAATTATTTTATTAATTGTTGTACAATAATTAAAAGATACCCAACTCTGATATATTATATGTATAAATACTCAAATTGAACAATGGTAAATGTTTTAATTGTCAATAATTTGGACTTTCCAAAATATTTCGTTGCGCATAGAAAAATGTATTATTAATTTTTTAAAGGAAAGCAGATGATAAAATATCTTAACAAGCGTTCGTGTGGTCATATTATAAACTACAATGATTGGTACTAAAACAGTGTGTAACAAAACAAGAGAGCATCGTTATATATATATATATGTTACTGGAGTTAAATCAGCGTCACATGTGCTGATAGACGTTATATTTTCTTATTTAAGTTCATCATTTATATTTTATAATTTTGATGCTGTGTTATTTGTCAATGTATTCTATTTTTTTTAGTACCAGTAACTTGTTTGAAGTTTTAATAAATTAGAAAAAATAAGGGAATTGTATAGTTAAATATGTTCTGTAAATTATTTAGTTTCCTTTTACTTATTTCGAGTGCCATGGGAAGACCAAACTTCTTGTTTATAATTGTTGATGACTTGAGACCAGCATTAGGATGCTATGGAGATAAAAATGCATACACACCAAATATTGACGCTTTGTCAAAGAAGAGTATAATATTCACTCAAGCATTTGCACAGGTTGATAAAAAATATATTTTTTTTATAAGTTATTTAAATTTACTTGTTTTTCTTTATTTTAATGATTTGACATTGTTTTACCCACTGTTATGTTCTAAATGTCATAATAATTTTCTGAAATTTATTTTTATCTAACAAATTGTGAATTAAAAAAAGAACGAGCCATATCTGTAATGTGCTCGATGTGTTAAACAAATCTGATTTTATATAATAATTTCAAATTTATATGAACTTACATAGTTTATAAAAATTACTATCGGACACCAATCCAATTATGTAGAATTTTATAAAATATATAAAATTTTTCAATGCAGCAATCTCTATGTGCTCCAAGTCGTAATTCTATTTTAACTGGCAGACGACCAGATACACTTCATCTTTACGATTTTTATAGCTATTGGCGTAAAGACGTTGGGAATTTTACAACATTGCCTCAGCATTTAAAAAATAATGGCTATATCACCATGTCAATTGGAAAAGTATTTCATCCAGGTATGAAAATTTTAATAAAATACAATTAATTTAATATATTCTTGAAGCATTCAAAAGCTTTTAGTCCGGGGATTTCTCGAATTCTTGAATGACTATATAAACGTAAATGTTTAGGTAATTATCACCCACGTACTATCAATTTTCCAATTCCAATTCAAACTTTTCTATTCTTGTATAAAAAATTAAAACAATGATTTATCATAATTTAACAATAAATTATTAAATTTTCATTAAACTTCAATAGATTTACCTCTGAAAAATCCTGCTAAATAATTCATTTGAATAAATTAATTATATCCTAAATTAACTAATATTTTGGATTTATTGGGGTCATGTCTTTAGTTCAATCTTTCAAATTGTCATGTGAATCGTCTATTGCAATGAACATGGCATATATAAGAATATTAAACATGTAAGAAACTTTAAATTGATTGAACAAGAATCCGCGATTTTCCCTCACTACTTTTAGCGGGGCGCTTCTCCCATGTATTTCTTACCGCCAATTTCTCCCTCTAGTTAAATTTTTCGTGGCGTCTATTTTCAGGTAGCCAATTACATTTAAATTATTATACTAAGGACAGAGCGATTTTTCTCTTTCTAATTCCATTTCAGAAATTCTATATCTCTTAATTTTTAAATTCATTTCTTAATATTATTTTACTTTTAATATTTACTAATTTATAATTTTTAAAATAATTTATAATAATTATATATGTAATTAAATTTTTGACTATTGAAATACCATTTCATTCTTTTTTTATATTAGAGCTATTACCTTTTAGTAGATGACTAAACATTGATTTTAATTAGTACACTTATATAAGAAACATTAAAATCATTACAGGAATAAGTTCCAATTGTTCTGATGATAGTCCTTATTCATGGACAGAGAAACCATTTCATCCTTTTACAGATAGATACAAAGATGCTCCGATTTGTCAGAATAATGTAAATGAGTCCTCAGCAAAAAATCTAGTAAGAATTAAATAAAAAAAATATAAATTTAAAATTACTATTATTTGATAAAGCCTATAGAAAAAAGGAACCAATTATTATTGTATTCTTTGGAACTTGTAAATAATTGTTTCGACTAAATATTTAATATAATATATATGTTTTAGATTTGTCCGGTTCAACTATCTCTTATTCCAAATAATACACTTCCTGATATTGAATCATTAAATGCAGCCAAGTCTTTTTTACAATCTCACGCTCAGAAAATATCTCCTTTTTTCTTAGCTGTTGGATTCCAAAAACCTCATATACCTCTTAAATATCCAAAGGAATTTATAAGTTATTAATTTTTACACTATTTTTTATCTTATTGAATCATAAAAATTTATAAAATTAATTTCTTATTAAACAAATTATTAATTTATAAATAGAAGTTAATTTTTATTAGAGTACCATCCATTGGATAAATTCTCAGTTCCTGAGAACTACGAATGGCCAATAAATGTCAGTTCCGTTGCCTATAATCCCTGGACGGATCTCCGAATTCGAGAGGACGTGAAAGCTTTGCATCTGAAATTTCCTTGGGAAAAAATTCCATGTAACATATTTTATTGAATTTGTTCTTAAGTTTTAAAAATAAATTTTCCACACCTTTGTTTCCCATTATATGAAAAGTGGATTTATTTTAGAATTTTCATAAATGATATTATTCTACCCTAGCAGCTTTTGGACATCCAGTGATCCTTGGAATTTAGGTTTTTTTTTAGGTATATCCGAATCCTATGGACATCTTACAATATTCTAATTCCGAAGGATCATCAGATACACCTAGAATATACCTGTAGGATATCCTGAATATTCAAATGCTATGAGGGTAACATTTTAATAACCAAAATAACTCTTAATTTTAATTAAATTATAACGTATGTTGCAGTTAATTTTGCAAAAAGAATTATACAATCATATTACGCTGCCGTAACTTACATTGATCATCTAATTGGAAGACTTCTGGAAGAATTAAGAAAACATAAATTAAAAGAAAATACTGTTATTATTCTTACTTCTGATCATGGTAATGATGAAAATTTAAGTTAAATTTTTAAATTAAGATATCAAATATCATTCATGAAAGATTTCCAATGCATTCGATGACCTCTAGTGATTTGCTATTATAAGGTTATTAAATTAATAACGGATTAATTTTCTTGTATATTAAATTAATTTAATATTCTTTTTAAAGGTTGGTCATTAGGTGAACATTCAGAGTGGGCGAAATATAGTAATTTTGAAGTAGCTCTCAAAGTTCCTTTACTTGTATCCATTCCATATACAATTAGGAATCAACAAATAGCTTTAAAATACTTAAATGGTTCTCAAAAAAATTCAGGTATTATTACCGCACTATAAACCTATAGTGGATATTTATTACTATATGGAGGAAATTTTTTTCAGTGTCAATAAAAAGAAAATATTGTAATAGGAGAAACGAATTAGTCGAGTTAGTGGACTTATTTCCAACAATTGCAGATTTAGCTGATATACCTATTCAAACTTGTCATAATTTGGCTGAAGGAACCGAATCAAATCTTTGCAGCGAAGGTTATTCCATGTTACCACTTATAGAAGCATCTAAAGATTGTAAGGTACTTTGACATTTTTTCGTTTATGATAAACTGTATACTCTTTTGGCGTTTTATTAACATTAATTTTTCATTTTAGTGAAATTAATTAATTAATTAATTAATTTTCAAATTATTTACAGAAACTATCCTGGAAGAAGGCGGCTTTTAGTCAATATCCAAGACCAGGCATAGAACCAACTTTAAATCCAAACAGTGATAAGCCACATTTGAAAGAAATTAATATTATGGGCTACACAATACGAACAAAACGTTTTCGATATAATGCTTGGACTTCTTTCTCATCTGATAATTTTCAACCAAATTGGAGTAATACAAAATTTTTATTACAAATTTAAATATTTATTTTAAAGTTCTAAATATTTAAAAATGTTTATTAATTTCTTCTTTAACTATTTTGTGTTATTCAAATTGATATTCTCAGCTTCTTTTGATATTTATATCCATATTGCTGCAACGTAAAGTGGATTTTAGACTTTAGATTTTAATTCTAATCTTTCAAAATTTTTCATTTCAGAAACAATTTTAGCTGAAGAATTGTATGATCACATGAGTGATCCTAGTGAAACTAGAAATCAAATTTTACTGCCTGAATTTGATAAAATTAAAAAAAGACTTAGAAAATTATTACAGGCTGGTTGGAGAGAAGCTTTACCAAACTATAAAGATGGAAATTATACGAACTTTGAAATACACTAAAATTTTTAATAAGTTAATACAGACACTGTATATTGAGTTTTCAAACATTTATTTTTCTTAAAACCCTTAATGTTAAAAATAGCATAAAAAAAATTACATACATGGCAAAAAATTTTATATTAGAAAAAACAATAAAACTGGAAGCATAATTTAAAATTATACAGTAGTAAAGTGCGGCTATTCATGGAAAATATTGTAAATCATTATAGTCACTGTTAATTCTGTAAATCAATTCTCAATATTTCTAAAATTCACATATACATTATTCATAATTAAAAAAGTTTATAGTAATATTTAACAGTTAGTTCGAAAAAGTGAATTTTAATATCGGCACTGGTAAAAATTGGCGAGCCTAACTTAAAATTACCTATACACCTAAATATGCATAATACATATAAACGCTCGATCGCAACTACGCTGAGAGATGAAGGCAGAATTTTCCTTATATATATTAAACGGCAGAATATTTCTGCGCTTGTGAGAAACGATGATTATAAAATTGTCTCGGTAAAACAATTATATTTTAAAATAATATGTAATGAAATATAATTATAATTAGTTGTATTTTTGCAATGATCAATTTTAGTATGAAGTTATATTTAAAATATTAATTTAAATAATAATAAAAATTAAATTAAAATAAATAAACAAGAAATTAAATACATTACAAGAAAGGAAAGAAATAAAATGCCATTATTTAAATCCAAGTTTTATTTATATAATGGTGTTTCTTTCAAAAAGGACAAATCTCCCGTTCACGGTAATTTGTTAAAAAATAATAAAATTGATTAAAATTATTAAAAATTCTGTTAGCCATACGTTAAGATTTAACAATTTTCAATCGGATCACAAAAGAAAAATTCAAAAAAAAAGCTAAATAACTGAAATATTGAATAAAATCTGATGTTACGGAGGGAAGTTTTAACACTACTTTTCATTAAATAATTCAGTTATTTGACCTTTTTTTTTTGATATTTTCATTAGTAATCCGATTGAAAATTTTTAAATCCCGCGCGGCACGCTCATTCTTTATTCGGGTGAATTCGGCAATTATCGGTCATCTACGAAGCCAGGGCCCGCAAAGAATCAATTAATAGTGGTCGATATTAAACTTCTAAAGTGAAAATTTTAATTTTTCACATCGATATACATGCGGCTATTGTTTTAAGGTCTTTTCATATTTACTATGTTGAAATTCCCTAACTATTATTTTCATTCTTGTTATTTTCAGTTAAATTTATTCATTAAGTACCCTATTAAAAATTACTTGTCTCAAAGGAGGAGGGCCCCTAAGGCCTATATTTTGCCCCCTTGGGATTTTAATTTAAATGGTTGAAAACTTTTTCTTATAGTAGAAAAAGTAATTTTTCATTGATTTTAGGTGAAACGGGAATGTTTTGGTCAAATTAAACCTTAGATTTTAGGGTTTTTTTTTCAAAAAGAGTGTCAAAAAAGCACGCAAAAAATATTTTCCAAATGTTGAACAATTGGTTTGAAAATCGTTGCTCGGGGGTTTTCGAGGTCGCTGATTACGAATCCGACGTTAGTTTTTCAAAATTCAAAATGACGGATCCAATATGGCGCATGACTTTTTGAAAATTTAATATTATTGGCCTGAAAATTGTTACTCGGAGAATTCGTAATCAGCGACCCCGAAAACCTCCGAGTAACAATTTTCAGGCCAATAATATTAGATTGTCAAAAAGTCATGCGCCATATTGGATCCGCCATTTTGAATTTTGAAAAACTAACGTCGGATTCGTAATCAGCGACCCCGAAAATCCCGAGTTACAATTTTCAGGCCAATAATATTAAATTTTCAAAAAGTCATGCGCCATATTGGATCCGCCATTTTGAATTTTGAAAAACTAACGTCGGATTCGTAATCAGCGACCCTGAAAAAAAACTTAGGGGCCCTCCTACAAAATTTCGACAAAAATTAATTTTTCTAAGATACCACAGAAAATTAAAAGGCATTAAAATAAGCTGCAACGCTTATTATTTTAATTCAATTTTGCTTATTTTAATCCATTTTGGTATTAAATTAAGCAAAATTGGATTAAAATAATAAGCGTTGCAGCTTATTTTAATGCCTTTTAATTTTCTGTGACTATATTAAATGTCATTTTCTTTCACTAGTAAGTATCCATATCGTAATTTAAAATATTATAATAATATTATGAATAACTGTTGGCGAACCGTGAATAGCCTCCTTTTTATATCGAGTATGTCAAAATGTATTGCCATTTTTATTGTCTTTTAATATAAAATGTTTTTCCGTGTATGTCAAACAGTATATATATTTAAAGAATTTCAGATTAAAGTCAAACAAATATACAACATTAAAAACAGCGTACAACAACATAATTTTTTTTTTCAAATAACTTAAAAGATTAAATGTTAAATATAAACGAATTATAACTATAGAATTTTAACCTTTTTAAAAATTTGTTCAAAAAATCATCAGGATTCGTTCTATAAAACTATTTTCACAAAACTATATATATATATGTGGTGTTTCTTTAACAAAATATTACATTTTAATAGTAGTGAGAAATTTTAAAATGTTGAAATAAGATAGAGACATATTTAAAATCTGAAAAATAATTATATTCCTTTGAAAGAAGAATGAAAACAAAAATATATTTAAAATATATTTTTTTTACGAACCGTGGCAAAATTTGACATTGTGAAAGTGTATAGTTTACCTCCTGTAAATTTACAGAGTTTTGTACTTCTCATCATTATCATTAACATCATTTTTTGATTATCATTAGACAATTCATACCAATATCCATCGTATCTGAAATAGTTTAAAATTTGTGCGTTTTACAATATTTAGAAAAAAAGAAATAACAAAATTATTTAGTAGATTTAGTTAGTATTTGTAACAAATTTATTTTTAATTGCACTTTCTTAACGAACAACATTTTAAAAAAAAATTCTGCATAATATAAATATGTATAAAGATTTGTAATAAAATAATAAAATTTACATGTTTCTGAAGAGCTGAAGACTGTGGTTAGTTAAACGTTGACAAGAAAAATTTATGCAAAAAACATGAAAAATATGACAAAATATAAATCTTGAAAGTACACTCTCCATGTTTAATTGGCTCAAATTCATCATAAACTGTATTGTATAGAATTAATTTTTAATAAAATAGTGATAAATATTTTACAAACTTCTTTAGAAAGAAGTTTCTATTAAAGAATTTAATATATTTTGATTTGGTCCGAAAAGTAACTCTGAAGAGTCCGATATTGTATAATTTATTTTTAATTTCATTTTTTGCAACGCCAGTGTAACATTAATATTTATAATTTCTTTAATTGAAAATAAAATAAAGGGATTTATATATTTAATTAAAATAGAAATTATTTATTTTACCTGAACTCCTGCAGAGCTAAGTAAAATTACAGTACATCCCACAACAATGAAATATCTAGTTGAAAAACAATTGCAGATATCGCTTATAAACCTAAAGTATAAAAAGCATAAAAAACATTTAAAATAACAAATAAGTATTTCAATTATTTTGAACATCTAAAATCGTAAAAACACTACATGCATTGGTAAAATTTATTGCGAACTGTTATTATAGTATAAAAAACAAAAAGTGGTTTTAATTTATTTAGAATTCCATACTAACATTAAAAGTGAATCATATTTTTTAGCACAAAATTTAATCTCTCGCATTTTATTTCTATCGTTATTCCATTGATTACAATTTTTTTTACCAATATTTTTTAATTTAAAGCTGCAAAAAGATTACTCATAATTAACACTCTACATCCTAATACAATTTGTACATGATAAAGAAAAAAAGATTAACATCCTAATGTTTAAATTTTTATGTCTATACAAAATTAATTGTGTCTCAAATTAGTCAAATCGATTTTACAGTTCCATTAGGCATAAATAAGTGAATTTTAAACGAATGAAATTTTAAATTTGCTCCTCAACATCCAAATCCAGTGACAACAGTGCTGTAGTGTTTTAGTCGGTTCCACGAATTATTATGGAAAGAGATGGAAGTAGAAGAGGAAGCGTTTCGAGGCTTTCTAGTGTTAGCAGCGGAAGAAGTTTAACTCCGTCTGATCTAGACAACGTGATAATCGAAGAGGAACGCGAGAAATGCGTGAAGCTTAGACAGGAGGAGGCTGAATGTCTTCAGAGAATCGAAGAAGAGTTCGCAAAGATGGTATAGTCTTGCGAAATCCAGAAGAATGTCAACATGACTATTAAGGACGGAATTAAGACTCTTCAGGATCTTGTCACTGATTCAATAATTGTTTCCGGACTAATCTAGAATTAGTCCAAGACAGTTCAGTTTATTGTCATCCAGAATTAGTCCGACTAAATCCGAAATTTACCCAATTTGTGTAACTAGTAAATCCGGAATTAATCAGATCTAATCCGAAGTCAATCCGATCAAACGTAACTACTGAATGCAGATTCTAAACTTACTGATTACACAGGCTTACATATAAATTCAGAATTACTCTGGAGCTCGCTCTGGACTCATTTTGGATTGTTTTTTGATCTAATTAAAATCAAAATGTTGCGTGATATTGCCGATTTATTTCATGTCAATTATACTGACTATTCTGAAGAGATCTCGGATTTATCTTTTCATCCAGACTGATTGCTGACTAATAAGGATTATTTTTGGATTGTTTTCGTATTACAATTTCTGTACTAATCCGGAATTATCTATAAACTAGCAACTTTGTCGTCCGCAAGCGGCCGACTACGTTGCTAGTATGCATTAACTATATTTTTTATTCATTTTTTTTCAAAAAAATTTAATATTAGAAATGTAAAAAAAAATTTCTTTATATTGGATCTACCACCCAAGTAGCACGGAATATTCCTTGAATGTCAAGCTGATATCAACCGGGAATATTCTTGTGACATTCAGGCGATATCATGTTGAAAAAGATGCAATTTAGTATTTTGTCATTTGTTTGAATCAGTTTACTGAACAGCCAATGGCGCTGTCGTCGCTAAGTAGTTTCTGTACTACGATTGTTTTATCTATA